CTGCATATACCTGTACCGGCCGTGATCCATCGTCCAGTCTCTTCTCCTTGCCTCTTGCTCCCTTCCTTCAAGAACATATCATGCCCGCTGCTACCCTCAACCGTGACCGCACCGCCGGACAGCAGCACCCAGGTGCCCGATCCCAATTGTACCAAGATCAGACGGAGGATGCCCGACAACTCCACGATCTCGCCCAACAATACAACCAAGACCTGCTCAATGGCACCCCACATTCCACACCATCCATCGAAACACTCGTCATGTCCATGGCACTAGAGCAAGACGTCGATCTGTCCTCCTTCAGCATGGCATCACAAGGCGACCCTCAATCCTCCCTGGCACCCAATGCCAGTTGCGACCCTCCAAGTAGCCAGGCCGGACAGCAGGGATATGCCGATATCAATCAAACACAGCTCTTGTCCGGATCACGGTCTTAGTTCTTTCCTTCTCCCCTACCTCCTTTGGAAATCCATCAATTCTTGTGGAAGATTACTTTCTTTTTTTATCTTCCTGCATCTTTGTTTGTTCATTATTCGTGAACCCTGTTCATAATTCATTGTTTGCTTGCCTCTGTGAGGTATGCGACACACAAAAAAAAAAGGTTTCCTAATTATACATATTTACTTTCTGCACATACCACCCCCTCTGCTGCAAACGGGTGCAATGGCTGAGCACTTTTGGGTTTTCGGGTAACCTTAAATTACATCATTCTCAGCCCACTTCTTCCCGCCATACCACGCCCACCTTCCCAATTGGAACCCTCGCTCCCGTAAAAATAGCAACGCATTCCTCCGCGCTACTTTTTTTTTTCTGCTCCTTCTTCACATCCACTATCCACACATTTTCGGATCACACCCACGCGTGTGCAATTGTCTATATACCCTCTTCATTGTCGTTTTTATACATATATTTCACACCTTTTGCTTATCATAGATTCACACACATTCCTTCATTTCCAGATGTCCAACGAATAATAAAAAATAAAAAAAAAGCCAATCGCTGCCCTCAATTGCTTCTGTAAAATCGACCCTCTAGTCCCAATTGCTTCCTGTATGACATGTCTCGCTAAAGTCAATCGATCGTCGCCCAGTGTCCCCCTGGAGGAACAAAATCTATTGTGTTGGATACGAGAGCATACGATTTACACTCGCGACCCTGACATCACATGCAGAAATGACAGGTTTGTTTTGTTGTGCGACACCCCACACACGCTGTTTATCCTCGCTTGAGCTCAGCCCATTGGCTTTGCACTGGACCAATGAGCGTACGTCTTGCCCATGGTCCGCGGTGCATGGTTGACCCCTCGCCCTGTAACACTTTGCCACCATTTTTTATCACCCTCAACCTCAGTCCACCTTCCTCGGCTCCTTCATCTCTTTCCCCCATCCTTCTTATCCCCGTCCGCCATAAACACTTCTCTCAACGTCGACACCCCTTTCCCAAATACCAACCATACTCTGTTCTGCAGCTGCACAAAGCCCTTTCTCAAGCCTCCCACCACCTGTTATTGCATTTTATTCCCTCAGCTCGCCTGGTCTGCCGCGACTGGCACTAAATCTCTACCGCCCTTTCTAACCACGGTTACTCTCCCTTCTACCGATATCTCTGCTTCCGGGACCTCGCTCAGGCTTCTGTCGAATGCGCCTAGTAGAAATACGCGACTGGAAACCTGCAGCACGCCTACACCTTGATTATCAGGATACGTACAAGGTCCTTCGGAAGAGCTCGAACCCAGTCCTAGTAAGTAGTGCTTTCTAGGAATGATGAAGTAGTCGCTCAGGGACGCGAACAAGGGGGCAATGAGAGGTCTCGTAGAACTGGAGGTACTCGAAAACGCTAGTCTCAAAGAGTGTCTCTACCCAATGTTTGGACACCTTTTTGGATTGACAGTCTTGCGACTTTGCGATGCTCAGGGTCCTTTGGTCGATCTCAACTTCTTCCTGTGATCGCGCCCGAATCTGTTGGAAGCCTACCTCACGCTCTGGATGTATTCCGAGCAACCACTGTCTTTGAAGGAACGCGAGGGCGACATTGAATTGAGTGCTTCACCCTCAAGATTACAGCATTGGCTGCAAGTCTTGGAACCCAATTGCTTTCTGCTGGACCAAACCACTCTCCAAGCCTATGTCTCCGCGATCCTAAAGATCCACAACGCCAGGACCACAGCAGCTTTTTATGACAGCAGCAAAGGGGAGGAAGGAGCAATGCGCCACCGTCAATGAACTTTGATCAAGATCTATTCTGGGACTTCCTCCGTCAGGCCTGGACACTTCTTAACGTCTTTGTTTTACCTTCTACAGACACCCATTGTCGCAGGCGGAGATACTCCAAATGGTCCATCATTCCCCGACCCAGCGGGAGCGCAGTTGGAAATCTCAGAACTGTACCTGACCCAATATTGATATTCGTTCTGTCAAAGATGTGATCGACTTTTTTTATGACGCTCGAGATTGTCGCTCCCAGCCTAGCCGGCTACTTCGAATCGATTTTCGAGAAGGAAAAGAGGTCGTCCACAGCGAGTTTCTCCATTCCGTCCTTTGCAGAGTACCATTTCTCCTGTACTTGCGTGCGCTATGTTCCAGACTTTTCCTCGTTCATTTTGAGTTCAAGTCTGCGGGATCCTGCAACAACAAAAACGATAACGGATACAGGGTCGTCAGCAGAATCGACATCAACAATAGTAACGTTAACAGTACCGATGGATAATGGACATGCCAAATCCTTCGCACAGATCACATCAGTCTCTGAGAAGAGTATCAAACGACTGGCTATATGCCGGCTATATGCCGGTTATATTTGCTGCCTAGAATGAAGCATCTGGAACACATGGCCTTGACGTGATGTATATTACCGAGCTCAAAAACCGGGTTACAGAGTGGATGAGACAGTGCCCAGCCACGGCGCATCGGCTGAGAGAAGACTTGAAAGGAGTGCTTGGGCTCAACAAACGAAACTCCACTATAGCAATGGCGACAGGGACAGGAGCAAGACCTTTAGAGCAGGATCTTTCTTCCCCGCCGATTCCGAGCGCGGAGCCGCCAGCGCAGCGGCCGTGAAACTGACATCCGATCAAGTCAGGCAGATTAGCGACAAATCGCAGGCCATGCTTTTGCTCAAGGCTTCAAAGAGTGATCCGAGTAAAGAATGGCGTATCACATCAACTTCAAGAATGAATGCCAGGGATATTTGACTTCTGACTAAGTGATTTTATTGAAGATCGGCTACAGGAGCAACTATCACGCATGGGTGTGAGAGTTCGGGCAGGGTGATTTATAGTGGAGAGGCGATTGTATTCTAGACTCAATGCTTATGAAGACCGAGATCCCGTGTGATCCATGCTAGAGTTTACTCCACTGTAATCATATCGACCATAGAAAACTATTGGACCGGACGCACCAGAAGAATAGGGGGAACCAGTGGAAGCGGAAGCAGAAGACGTAAAAGAATTACAACAAAGAAAAAGTTGAACACCACGAACACTGTGATAGTGTCTACATTGAGCGCACCAGAGACGCGTTGTTCGTCTATGGTTTACGTTGCACCTCGCCGAGATGTGTACTTTGTCTTCTCTTTCGCTGCATCTTCATGCGTCCATTAAAAATAATAACAGCCGAATATATTGGTAGCAGATCCTATCAGAGTGCTTTGTCATGCGGATATACAGAAGACCATATCGCGGAAGTGATATAGCGAACGAGTTTATCCAGACAAAAGGAACGCACCCCTTGTTTAACACTGATAGTTTTTCCCTCACCCGTGTTTACGCATCTCCAGTTCTGCAGCGATTTAGAACTAGAACAAGACCAGTTACGTACCACTCCAGCCTATTTCATGAAATAGTGCGTTCAATGATCTGGATCCACGCGGACACAGCTATTTAAGAGCACCGTTTGCCAATCGATAGAACCCCAGTCTTTGTCTAGCAAACATCCACTCTGCATCACACATCCTGACCCGGCCCTATTGCGAGTTCGAATCCCTTCAACCCACGTATACGACCCAACATTTCCCACCACCAAAACAACTTACATGTCCCCCAAAACCCCCGAGACCCTCCACAGGAGCGCCACAACTGCGCCCTATATGAACACCCATCAGGCCCGGATGCAGGATCAAGAGAACCGAAAGCGCATACGAAGGGAGGCCCACCAAGCGCGTATGCAACAGCAAGCGCTGCAAAAAGAGGCACGAAGACATGCTCACGAAATTCGTATGATGATACAAGAGGGTCGAGGGGTGACTCGCACGGGCGATTATGGGGTTTCAATTGACTTCCAGAGGGCTTTCAACGAGCTGACAAGACCTCAGTCTAGTCAGTCAGGGTCCTTGAACCAGAAGCAACAAGTACCAGAACAAGAGCAAGGCAAGGACCCATCAGGTCAACCAGAGGCCCAAGAAAAAGTAGCTTCAGACAGTAACACGCAATAAAGCTTCTTCTTCGTAAACCCATCTCAGGCCCCATCTCCAGATGATTCAACTGGGCCTTTCCTTATCAGCTGTAGCTCCAACGAATGCGAAATGAACCATTTTTCTCCTTTGCTGCATATCGTTTATTTCTATCCCTCACATAACAACTAATAAAACCTCTATTTCGCAACAAACTAATAATCATCGCCACGACTCAAGACCTCCTTGCGCGTGGGACGCAAGACTAATGTATGTTCATACTGCGCTGTAAAAGACCCCTTGATATCGACCAATGGTGGATATCCCTCCACATGTCCCGAATCGCAAAGACTCTTGAGCGCCAACAGGTACTTATCTTCGCCCACGCGGTCCAAGTATCGCCTGCAGAACGGAAGCGTACCGAATTCGCGGTTGATGGTCTCAAACAGTGCCTTAGCCCTTGGAAGACTAAGCGGACGAAATTAATTAGTCAAAAGAAAAGAGGAATTGTCAGCACAGGATCAACATTATGATCTTTAAGTCCACAAGGAATTTGTGAAAAAAAAAAAAAAAAAAAAAAAAAAAAGGAGAGCTTGAGGCTTACCGAATGGGTATCTTGGGAATGTCATAGGCACGAGCATAATGACTCGTCTCCATATCGTATCGGACAATACCACGTCCTGTACTTCCAAAGGTCTCGATCGCAAAATACTCGCCCTCCTCCATCTTTGTCGGATCTCCGTTGTTGACGATCGGCACAGCCTTCGTTCCGTGAATTTTGTATAGGTCAATGGAATGTCCTGTCAGGTTGCGGATCGGTTTTACTAGTAAATGAAGAAGCAGCAACGTTAGACTTTTTTTTTTTTTTTGTGAAAGAAAATCATTTTCAGAACCCAACTCGCGATTTTTTTAAATGTTGAAATGGGGCCGTACCTTGATACGTCTTGCCACCGATCTCGACTTCATACGACTCCATGACTTCCTGGATAGCAGCTCCGATATCGCCGAGCCTGACATCAATACCGGCCTCTCTGATACCAGTGTTCGTAGCATCCTTGACAGCCGCCAAGAGATTGTCATACACCGGATCAAACGTAAGCGTGAATGCCGAATCGATAATTCTTCCTATGATCCGTCCACAAAGGCGCATTAGAACCCTTTTCGTCACGCAAAACAAAACATAACATAATATAACATAACATAAAAAATAAACAAAATGCTGTCATAACATATACCATTGACATGGACACCGAAATCGATCTTGCAGACATCTCCATATTGCAGGACAATTTTATCTCCCGCATTGGGCGTATAATGCGCCGCGCAATGGTTCAACGAACATCCTGTCGGGAACGCAATTCCGGACTCAAATCCGTTGGCCTCGACGAGCGTCCGTGTGCCGTTCTCTATCATCTCACAGATCTCGGTCATGGTCATCCCGGGCTTGATGTTCCGACGGGCGTATTGACGGACTTGACGATGTACCTCTGAGGCGCGACGGACATCGTTGTATTGGTCAGAGTTCTGTCTCTCGACCGCACGCTTTTCCTCGTCCGTTGTTCTCCACAGGTTGCTAGTCAGCAGAAAGATGCAAATTAGAACTTCTTTAGGTGCTCAAGTCTCTCTTTCTTTCTTTCTTTTTTTTTTTTTTTTTTCTTTTTTCTTTTTTGTTGCACCATTTAGTCGCAGTGACTATAGGAACCGAAAAGAAAAAGAGACATACTCATCCTTATACTCGCATAGCTCTCCTTCTGGGTAGATCTTGCTTGGAAACAACACTGAGAGTGGGATAGTCGGAGGCTCTGTCTGGATCTTTTTCTTCTTCTTGTTGGTCTTTTTCTTCTTCTTCTTCTTTGCGCCAGCTAATCAAGGTAACAGATAGATGCGTCCCATGTTAGACCAATTGATCGCTCTGTAGAAACCCGAGTATCGGCCGTTCTTCTGACCCAATCATACGCACCAGTAGCAGTCCCCGAGGCAACTGCTTCCTCTTCATCGTCGTCTTCATCGTCGTCGTCCTCTGCGTTTGCGTCCTTTGATGTCTCCTCCTTCTCCTCCTTCTCTGGCTCTGCTTCACCATTCACAGGAGCTATATCAGCGTCATTCAGAAATTTGATGTCAGCTGCAGCTCAATTGAATTCGGAACAGCGCGTTCAGCGATTCTTTCTTTTCGATGGCTCTTGTATTTTCTTATTAGACCTACCTGCTGCGGCGGCCTTCTTCTTCTTGTTCTTCTTTTTGACTACTTCTCCTGTCGTTGCTGCTGGTCCTGCCTCTGTGGCAGCAGCCCCATCCAGCTGGGTCTCTGGCACGCCGTCAGCAATAGTTGTGTTTTCCAGTTCCTGTACAAGGGAATGCATGGTGTTGACAAGAGTCGTGTGGGGTGTGTGTATTCGAAGCTGATTCCTATTGTCTCCATTGTGGACCGTCTCTAATAACAAGCAGTCCCGCAACAGCAGCAGCAGCGACCTGACGCAGCACTCCCCTTCTTCACTCCGTTCTCAGCTCATACCATCAACGCCTAACACATACACACAAACACATCGACATGGACAGTAAGTCTTTTGTTCATGGAACCGACTTCAGCCTCCTATGAATACGGCCAAGCTCTTCAGGAACTCTAACCCTATACACTATACATTCGTGTTCCAACCTGATAGTCGATGACTACGAAGAAGACATGATGCTCGACGAAGACGAGTTCATTGCCCCCTCACCCACAGGAGAGGAGCCCTATGAGGAAGGAGCCTCCCGGTTCGCAAACACACGCCAACAGAACGTCAAGGTTGTCGACAAGAACTTCTTCAATGGCAAGTACTTTGCTGGTTTTTTTTTTTTTTTTTTTTTTTTCTACTGGAGTCTCGTGCCATGGAAACACGCACGCCATCTCGACCTTATTGGCTTCCCTTAATGCTGACATGTCCGTATGTGTGTATGTGTGTGTATGTGTGTTTGTTTTTGTTGTTGATGATAGACTTCCCTGACCTGTTTGACGATGACCTATGAAGGGAAAGCGACGGTACTTTCTTTCACAAGCGGTGCAGTGCAGCGTGCAAACGAGCATAGCCGAAACTAACGCCACCAAAAAATAAAATAAAGTCGCGCTCAACTGAAATGCGTCAAGTTCACAATGGTCCAATTGCAAACTGAGATATTGGCTGTGATGATGTCCACTCGACCCTGGGTGAGGGGGAGAGGTAACGGGGCTGGACCATCGGTGGCACTCAAAATAGAGTTTCGAGGAACATCCGCACCAATTGAATATGCCACAGTGCAGAATGCGGACATTGCCATGTGTCTGTGTTTGTGTGTCCCTTTTGCATGGCCCCAATTGCTCTCAAATGCATCGTATCCTCTCCGTCCCCTCATCGCTTCTCTCTTTTTTCCTTTCTCCTCATCTCCCTACTCATTCCACTCAGCCTGATGTCGGACAACCATCAAGACCCGATCGCTCCACACTCGGACACGCTGTCCCAGTTCTTCAACCAGCAGCATCCAGAGACCGTGCTGGTCATGGCCCGATCCTTCTCCAAGAAGAACGTTGTCTCTGCAGCAGTCGTCCAAGTCCATCGGGACGGATTTGTGATCGAGGGACAGACTGCGCAGGCCGGACCGACATTGCAGGTCTCGGTCTCGTTCTCGAGTCCGGCGCTTTCTTTGGTCATGGCGAAGGAGGCCTTCTTGAGGATTGGCAAACAAGCCGAAGCCGAAGCTGAAGCCGAACGGGGGTCCGTTGTCCGTCGTCAGGTAAAAACCTGCCTTAGTGTCACCGAACCTTGCCATGCATTCCAAATGTACCTAAATTTAAACGCGCACCTCTTTTTTCTTTTTCTTTTTTTATTATTTCGGGAAGCAGATCCCAGGTCAACCACCAGGTCTGGGTGTGTACTGGCCCCACTGGAGCCCCTTCCTGATCGCGCTCGCCATCAGCGTCTCCTCATTCTTCGTTGTCTACTTCTTCCCCAACGTCAGCATCCCGCCCTTCGTTTGGATCAAACAAATCTGGGGACTCGATACCGTCCGCACCTGTGTCCATTTTGCAGTCTTCCTGCATGGCTTTCAGCTGGTCACGGCATGGTATCTGATGAAGCGCGTGGCCAAGTGTCCGTTTTCGATCAAGCAGGTCCTGATCTGGTCCGTGTGTGTTCAGATCATGGGGATCGGATCAATGTTGAAGCTGTTGCCGATCGTGTACAATAGCAAGTTTGTGAGCGACGAGATTGAAGCCGAGGAGAAGGAGCTACGACAGAGACAGCAGCAGCAGGAGGAGGAGGAGTGCTAATGGTAATTTGAGATGTTGACTGGAGCAGGACTCGCACCTAGACTTATAAGATATTTAATAATGAATAAAAACGACAACAAACGCGTCCAGAAATCGAGAAATCTAGAGTTCAACGAAAAGGATCCCTTGGGGGGAAGAATGAATCTGTCACATCATGCTACTTCCACGGACGGATGTACTGTACACTAGTCCATCGGCAGATCGTGCACTACCTGAAGGTAAGTACTTCGTACGATCTTAAAAAGAAAAAAACGATCGAGCCAATGCTGGCCGTTGTCTGCACGGGACGCAAAAATCCAATACCTCCTTCACTCCTTTACTTAAGCGTTCACACGGTCCCCATTCGCCGCTTTTCTTTGTCTTCTCCACACATCTTCGTTTTCTTCACCCCCTCTCCACGCTTTTCGCCTTATACGACAATAGTTTTTTTTTTTTCCTTTTATCCAATGTCCAGCCTCTTTGAACTCTCACCTCGATGCCAGGAACTTCACCGGCGTTTGACAGAATTTGTCGAGGTATATAGCCATCACCATAACGTTCCTTTTTGTCAATGTCGAGTTTTATCCGCTCCACATCTTCATACTCATCTCATTGACCAATTCTTCTCTCACATGTAGAACGATTGCATCCCCGCCGAAGAAATATACGAGAGCCAGGTCGGGCGAGGCGACCAGCGATGGAAGGTAAGGACTTTAATAGGCATTCATGGAATATCGGCCTATGAACCATATTCTTTTTTTTTTTTTAGTGTTCAATCCAATAACAAAACCCATGCTGCTCCTTTATACAGGTCGTGCCTCCGGTTATCGAGGAACTCAAGGCGAAGGCAAGGTCTTTAGGTCTCTGGAACCTCTTTCTGCACAAGGGTTACCCCGAAGGCCCCGGATTGACCAACCTCGAGTACGCCCATCTCTGTGAGATCACCGGTCGATGCCCTCGCGTTGCTCCTGAGGTAGCCCAAAAAAAAAAAAAAAAAAAAAAAAAAAAAAAAAGCTCCAAGGTTGGTTTCCTCCCCCTCCCCCTCTTTGAGCTGTCGAGTGAACTAACATAGAGCTTTTCTCCATTCTTCCTGTCCTTCATCCTACAATCCAACAACGCAATAGGCACTCAATTGCTCAGCACCGGATACGGGGAACATGGAAGTCTTTGCCAAATACGGCACCGCCGCCCAGAAACAGAAATACCTCGTCCCACTCATGAACGGTCAGATCCGTTCCGCCTTCGCCATGACCGAGATCGCCGTCTCCTCCTCGGACGCGACCAACATCGAGACCCGGATCGAACGTGTCGGTGACTACTATATCATCAACGGACACAAATGGTGGATTTCCGGCGCGGGCGATCCCCGTTGCAAGGTCTATCTGGTCATGGGGAAGAGTGACCCGAATAACGAGAGTCAGTACAAGCAGCAATCGATCGTAATTGTGGATGCGGATACACCGGGGGTGGAGGTCGTGAGGCCGATGACGGTGTATGGATATGATGATGCGCCCGAGGGACATTGCGAGGTCAAGTTCACGAACGTGAAGGTGCCCGTGGGGAATATCATCGCGGGCGAAGGGAGGGGGTTTGAGGTCATTCAGGGACGTCTTGGACCTGGACGCATTCATCACTGGTACAGTTCTAGAACGCGTACCTGACTTGTACTTATCCTTCTGTTCGGATCGGTATGCTGTTATGTGACTGATATACCGCCCACTCTTCCATTTATTTGCTTGCAAATGATATCGAACAGCATGCGGGCGGTTGGAATGGCAGAGCGTACTCTGGACTTGATGATCGCCCGAGTGACGGACCCCTCACGCCGAACGTTCGGACGCGTGCTCGCCCAACACGGCACCGTGGCCGCAGATGTGGCCAAGATCCGTATTGAGCTCAATGCTGCCCGATTGCTGGTCCTGGCCGCGGCCGATAAGATCGACAAAGTCGGTGCCAAGGGTGCGTTGCGCGACATTGCCATGGCCAAGGTCATGGTCCCCAATATGCTCCAGAGAGCCATTGATCTGGCGATTCAGGCACATGGCGCCGCTGGTGTTAGTCAGGACTTTCCTTTGGCCAGATTCCATGCCGGGGCGCGTGCTCTTCGCATCGCAGATGGTAAGTCTAGGCCGTTTCGTTTCGTTTCGTTTTTTTTTTCTGGGATGGGATATATAGATCGGATGAGATCAAGAAGTCCCGGTGCTAACGGTTGTGAAAATGGTTCTTTTGAACGTTTGCTGCTTCCACAGGTCCTGATGAGGTGCATATTCAACAACTGGCACGATTCGACCTACTCCGCGGCGACGATATTCGAAAGAAGCAAGAGGCCGTCAAGGCGCGCCGCGCTCAGATTTTGGCGAACCATTCCAAGCTGTAAACGTCGCTGTGCATCCTTCACACGATAGTAATAAAGAGAGAAAAAAAAAAGAGGGGGGCCTTTGAGATGACGATGAATGATTTATGTTTATTATTTTATCTATGATGGGTGAATTGTTTACAAACGACTTTTTCTTTTTTTTTTTTCCGTCCAAGAATGCGCCATTTTTTTTTTTTTTTTTCCTTTATGCCGATGCTGCTACTGCCGTTGAAGGCGCCGACAAGGATGCGGCCGCGACAGAGTTATTGGCCTGTGTTGCGGGATCCTTGACGATATAATTGCCCTGCCTGTCCTTTGCAAGGATAGCCTTCCACTGATCCGTGAGGACCTCCTGCTTTGGTCGTGGTGGTTCCGTGAGTTCGATGGCGGCGACGGCCATCATCGTTAAAATCGTGAATCCCTGGGCGTACATACGGGCAGTAACAATACGTTGGGTCGTCGTCAGACCCTTCTTCGAGAACGTGTAGCCGAGAGAGCCGGCCATGCACGACAACCAGGCCACACCAACGACCATGTTGCGGTTCTCGCGGACCTGGTAATTGAGCTCGGCAAGGACACCACGTTGTGCGCGGATCTCGGCACGCTTGGCCTCTGCGGCCTCGGCATCGAGGTGACGGAGCAGCTGGCGGTCTTCGTAGTGCACACGGGCGTGGTCACCAAACAGGATCGAGGTTGCGGCGACACCTGTTAATGAATGTTTTATGTGCGAGATCAGTTAACTAAGCTTGTTTCGGGCAATTGAAGAGAAGACATGGGTTCTAAAGAATGATAAAAGGTGGACAAAAGTTGGTTGCGTACCTGAACCGAGAAGGAACATCTTCATAGAGCGGGACATGGTCTGATAAGTCCGGGAGTAGCGGGCACCGGACATGGCGACGAGGCCTCCGGCAACGAGAGCCAGACCGGCACCCTTCGCTGCTGCGATGGCGATCAGCTCGTTCTTGTCATCGTGTGTTTCGAGGTGAGGGTTCTTGAAGTCCTGGGATGCCATATCAGTCATTATTGTTTGTAGTGTGATAAAGTTGAGTGGAAGTGTGAAGTGAGGTATGAGGTGCGCAGTTGTCGGAAGGTATCTCGAGTTGGAGTAAGGAGGCGGGTATTATGAGCAAATGAGTGAGTGGATGAACGAGAGGGAGGAGGAGGTAGGAAAGAAGGAAAGAAGGAAGAAAGAGTCGAAGGAGCTGGTGCTGTTGTTGTTGTTGTTGTTGCTGCTGCTGCTGCTGCTGGGCTTTGTCAATGGTCGGTTGTTGATTGCTGGTTGGTGTGTTTGTTGTCTGTTGTCGAGAACTGCCCCTCCCTCTCTTTTTATATCGCTCCAAATTGTGAGACAAGTGGGTCGATACGGAAGGAGGGGATCGGCGGGGGCAGGGTTTGTGCTTCTTTTTTGGCTCTTCCCGTCTCTGTCTTTCCCTCTCTCCTGGGCGGCCTACTATTTATTCCTACTATTCTTTCGTCACTTTGTGCTCCTTCGCTAAATTACGATTAGCCATGATTACAAGAGGAGGTGCGTGAGAAGTTTGTTTCTCGGGAATCAGCCTGGCCTCCGCTTCTTTAAAGCCTATCCCATACTTGGCCCATCGACCGAAGTCCTGTGCTCTCCTGCGCAGTCAGCCATACAGCAGTAGAGAGTTGTGTGCCTGAGACTATACACGCTGTGCTGTAGATCACATTCAGATACACATGGGGGACGCTGCTACACTGCAACCCAACTTAGGCATAGATCTGATGCCTTGCATGGGTGTCGTGTCTTGGAGTAATCATTCATGATGAGGGTTATCTCCGGCTCTGGCTCTGGCTCTGGCTCTCCTCAAGAGAGGATGCCTGGGGCGCAACACGGCCCACATGCCTGTTATGGAAGTGACATCCGAGGTGTAGGCAAAATATTTTTTTCCTCCATTAACCATCAGTACGTGGGATGACAAAGTTGACGTTGATACTCCGCAGAATACCCAGCCTGCTCTATTTCTCTCTCTCTCTCTCTCCATTGAGGAGCCATTGCCGTCTGCTGAGTACCGCACCAGTAGTAAGAGTAGCATAAGCATGGCTCCTGACATGTCGACCCCTACGTCGATGTCAAGATAGACTATGGAATGTCATCGAAAAGGACCTTGCTGCTGTTTTATGGGACAACAACCTGGCTCGGGCGTGTGTATGTAGGCACCCAAAATGAACCTGACCCGAAGGTGCCCTCGTTATGCATGGTTCCTTGGACATGATGAAGGCCATCCAGGTCCAACAGATCGTCATTTGAGGATCATTTGTGAGTACATTCCATTACTATTGTCGACTGCAAGAAAGACAGAGAGAGGCTGTCAACCCTCCTTAAAACTTTACCTAATACCTTATACCATTCCCCAATCGAATCTACCAATGCACCGATCAGCACCGTTTTTCTATCACTCTTCACTCTTCATGTACAGTGCCGTATAGCGGCCTATCCACCCTTAGCGCCAAGGTGGGTACATGCGGGTATCCGGGACACTGACAAATATCTTTCCTCAGTCCCTTCAGACACGGATCGGAAGAGCAAGCAAGCGAATGAATGGGAACCCAAATGCGGCAGACAATTTACATTTCAAAAGAGGGACACGCACCCACTCGAATTCACTTTCCCCACTGCTTCCTCCGAGCTTGCCAATCAGCCATACCCATACCCAGTCTGATTCCAGTCCAGCTCCAGAATCATGGATATATATATTTCCTGGCCAGATGCCTATCGTTTGTCATCAGTCATTAGTGTGCTTCTTCCTCCCTCATGGGTTTATACCTCTCCACAACGCGTTGACTAGCAGAGATGCGATCAAACAAGCCTGGTCCATGTGTCCCTTATATAACCCTCAAAGAGAACCAACCTTTAATTATACATCCCATTGTCCACTAGACTCTATCCATTATCCAACCAACTGCGGATGCAATTGAGTCCTTCTGAGCTATCTTTGCGCTAAAGCTAGGTGCACAGAGGGGGACCATCGCATCCAGGCAACACAATGCATTTGAAAGTAAGGGTGGGTTACGTTGGTCGATCTGTACCTCCTTCTTGGCTGCCCCACAGATACAAACAAACAAGATCCTCTCTCTTCCCCCCCGTTCAATTGTGTAATTTGCATACAGATTCTGCCCCTCCCACAGCACGCTGGAGAAAAAGCTCTCTTCACATGTCACTTTTTTTTTTTTCTTTCAATGGGTTCACTTTACGAAGCCAGCCAACAGTCTTTTTAGGCCCCTCCTCTCAGCACCTTTTCTACCACCTTTTCTTCCACCTTTTCTCCTCCTCCAACTCCTTCTTCTTTTTCTTCTTCTTCTTCTTCTTCTTCTTCTTCTTCTTCTTCACTCACCCTCTCCCCTCTCTCCTCTTCCCTCTCCTCTCACCTCACCCCACTCTTTCAACATGGCTTACGAACTGCCTCCGATCGGACACGCCCTCAGCGGCGGCGTTGCTGCCGCGCTCGCCAATGTCGTCATCTACCCTCTCGACATGGCCACCACCCGCGTCCAGTCCCAATCCACCAAGGACCCGGCCTCTATCCCCCACTCTCACTCCTCGTCCGGCCGCAAGGAGCAACTCCCCATCGAATTCAAACGCCCTGAACTCCCCTCTTCCACCTCTTCGTCTTCGTCCTCAAAGACCTCTGCCCTATCTGTCTCCCCAGATGGCCGCAAAAAGACCACGACGACGACGATCACCACGACCACCCGCACCGTCTCCTCCCTTTCTTCATCTACCTCAACATCCTCGTCGACGACCTCAAAGAAAACCCATTACACATCCGTGCCGGACGCGCTTCGGCAGACCTACCGATCCGAGGGCTTCTCAGCCCTCTACGCCGGTCTCGGCTCCGACACCCTCGCGACCTTGACCTCGAACTTTGTCTACTTTTACGTCTACATGGCCCTCCGCCAACACAAGGAACACCGTCGTCGGTCCGGTCAACTCTCAACGATTCAGGAACTCTTCCTGGGCGCCGAAGCCGGGGTTATTTCCAGGTTCTTCACGGCCCCGATTCATGTCGTCACCACCCGACAGCAGGTCATCGGGAAGGAGCTCTCGACAGAGAGTGGGAAGCCGATCAAGGTCTCTGCTCGCGCGATTATCAGGGATATCTATGCGCAGGATGGGATCCTCGGGTTCTGGGCCGGATATGCGCCGACGGTCATTCTGTCGATTAACCCCTCGATCACCTATTTTTTGTTCGAGACCCTCAAGAAGTTTATCCTGGCCCGTCAAGCCCGCGCCGCCGCCGCCGTCTCTGCGGTCCCCAACGGCTCGAAATCTGCTCTTGTGGCGGCTGCATCGTTGAGTTCACTCCAGATCTTTTTCATCTCCGCATGCTCAAAAGCCATCGCCTCCTTTTTGACCTACCCGCTCATCCTCACAAAGACAAAGCTTCAGACCAAATCCGAAGATGCCAACGATGGCGACAACAACAACAACAACAACAACAACGCGGACGAGGAATCTCTTATCGGAACCGACTCTGCTTCTGTAGCAGCTTCAGGAACAGCATCGTCATCACAGGGGAAGACAAAGGGATTCGACGGCATCTCAGATGTGATCAGGACCGTGGTGAAGGACAAGGGCATCAAGGGTCTCTACACCGGATGCCAGGGCCAAGTCGTCAAGGGCTTCTTTTCCTTCGGTCTCATGTACATGATCAAGGACCGTGTCGTCGCCTGGATGCTCACACTCTTCCTCGCCCTCCACAACATGCGCAACCGTGTCACTTCGGCGTAAAGTCTTTTTTCTTTTCTTTTTTTTTTCGACAAAAGACTTTGTACCCCCAACACCCTCCCAGCCGCTTTACGCCAACCCAAACCATGCAACATAGACTATAATAAAGAGACAAATTACAGCAGGCAGAAGCAACATGTTTGGTGAAACACAATCTAATGACTAAATAGCATAGAGAAAAAACAGAGCATGAAATACAAGTCTACGAAACCAAAAGTGCTTCGCCCAAACTAATCCCCTTCTTTTCAGTCTCAGCTTCCTTCGGTCTCCACCTTGCTCTCGCTATCCTTGCCGCCTTCGCTCTCGCCATCAACACCTTCGGTCCTCTCAGTCGTCGCCGCGCCCAACGGATTTACCTGTGCCTCCGCCTCTGCCTCTGTCTTCATAGGCGACGAAGGCGCCGAGATCTCCAAAAATGGCGAGTACATCTCTGCAGGTGTCGACGACCGCGTCGGCGTCATCGTCGATCCTCGCAACGCTGCTGTCGACCCTACTGGCAAAGACTGTCCCCCACTCCCACTCCCACTCCTGGATCCCGAAACCGGACTCGCATTCGACTCTAGTGCCTCCTGCAGCTCCTTTTCAATTTCATTCTGACTCTCCTGATTTGACATGCCATCTTTATCACGACTGCTGCCTCTGGTCAATGTTGGCGAGATCACTATCGGTACTGTTGGGATCGGTGCTACAATCGGTACTGTCGAAGTCTCAGAACTTGCTCCTACCAGATCTGCTAAACTCGACGTCCCCGACGTTGAGGTCGACGCTGACGCACTCTTTGACGCTGTAGGGGATTTGGGTGACATGGGTGACAACGGTGACCTGGGTGACAGCGGTGACTTTGGCGGCACGTACACATAAACCCCTTGCTCCGGGCTATTCCTCGGTTTCGTTTCCGTCTTGATCGTCGTCGTCTGCTTCGCCGAAGGGATCACAAACGTCTCTGCTGTCGCCCTAGCTCTTTCTTGCATAATTCTCTTCTTCCGCTCATGCTGATGAATCCGTTGCTGGTATTGCTCCTCCGCGTCGCGCTGCGCCTCCAGCAGCTCCTTCTTCTTCGCCTGAAAGAAACTCGACACATTTGAAAACATCCCTGCTGCCCTCTGCCCCAATGCCGCCGTTGCCGCCGCTGTCGCTGCTGTCGCCGGGCCTAGCGTCGAGCTCAGTGTAGACGCCGAAGATCCTGATCCTGTTGTCAAACTCGAGCCTGGTCGTGAAGACCCTGACGGCTGCTGTTGATAGGCAGAAGGCGGCCGTGGCGAGGACGTTTGCGATTTCGGTGGCACAATCGCGTCGTCTAGGTCATCCTCAGCTGTCGGCTCTAAATCCGGAAATATTCTCGATGCAGGGCGTTGGATCGGATTGGTCGACGTGCCCTGGATAATCCCCTTCCCATCTGAAGGAGTCCCCTCTCTGGACCGAGGTGTGTACAATGCTGGTTCGTAGGATGATGCTGCGGGTCCCAATCCTTCTTCTGGCTGCAGTTTCTCGAATTCCTGCCACACAGTGTCAAAGACATTCGAAAGTCGTTCTCTGCTCGTCGTCATCGCTCTCGAAAACGACTGCTTCAAAGGCTGCAAGTTCTTGTCGATCCTCATATCCTTCAACTGACTATTATTGTCATCCACGGGATAAATCAGGTCAGACACCCATCGAAAAGCACTAGCAAAGATATAATACCAGACAATCGCGAAATCGCTTACTTTGCTAACCGCCGTTGAACGTGGGCCAAAGAAAAGTTGCCCTGACATGGATGCCCTGGCGCGACGATCTCATTGAGCAGCTCCCAATCAACATAGTCGTTCCAAAGCTGGTAATTTGGTGTTTGTTGCCAAGCCTTAATAAAATAACTTCCATAGTCCGATGTCAGGTCCCTATCTTACAGGTCGAAATAAAAAATGCGTTAAATCTCGGCGCAACGACTCCCAGTAAAGTCGCTTCAAGCAAAAGGCCGCGATTATAAAGACATCCTGCTCCCCTACCGGTTGCGCTCCCGATGCCCTCGATAGAATCATCAACTTGCGTATACTGTGAATGCTTTACACTTGACAACAGCGTCAAGAGATACTCTTCGAACTTTGCACGCAAATAGTCATCACTACCCGTGTATTCCGTTTGTGCTATTCAGTTCCATACACATATCAGACAAAGTAAGGTCAGGCCGACTCGCTTCAAGAATATTCTACCGAGTGGTCACATATATGATTGAACACTCACCATCATTAACGCCGTTGTCATTAACAGCCTCGATAATTTCGTCCATCCACCGCCGATCTGCTGAAGTCAAGCTGAGAACGCTCGACAGTGAATCCTGTAAAAATTCGACTGTCCCTGGCTCGGTCTAAACATAAAAATATCTCATGATGGGTTAACAAGACGCAAACCTTGGAAAATTCCATGCCTTGCTAGCTTGCGATCTGGCAATGGCCCTGCTTACATTCACAATAACGTCCGTTGCACAATCGCGATTATGTAAGAAAATGGCATTGGTTGTTCCGATGATATAGCTCCGTGTCTGAGAGTCCTGCAGGATATCGATCTGCTGAAGCGGCAGATATGGCTGAAAGAACGATCCCTATGTTTCCCAAAGCAAACGAAAATTACCAGTGCGTTAACAGAGCAGGGTCTTGCAGAATCCTGCAAGTAATTCTACTTTCAAAAATGAAGCCTCACCTCGCCAAAAATATGAAGAGGAAACCCCAGATATTTGAAAAGCGCCTGCTTATCCGTCGACTGTGCCGGTGTCTTTGACATGCTCTGCATATACAGTTCCTGCGAGTCCAGCAGCGGCGATCCTGCGTCCTGCAAACTCTTCAACAATCCTGGAATCAGTGAGATCAGCGAGTATTGATACGTGCACAGTGTCTCGACTGGATATCCAAAGAAAATGACCTATTGTTTTACCATGGTGTGATGAACAGCCATTGTCAGCAATCAGGGCAATTGACACAGATCACCGCTTGAGAGAAGAAAAAAAACCTGACGATCCCTGTAACCACGCACGCACCCTTTTCTCCAACAAAAGTAGTTTTAAGAGAACCAGGACTTTGTACTTGAATTTTTTGACCAGCTCACGAAGAGACGTGCCTAGCAGGACGAAGAATCATTAAGTATGATCAGTCAACGGCCAGAAGCGCCCTGAAAAAAAAGTAAACAGTTGAAGACAAAGTTTGATCCACAACACCAGCTCTTACCCATCATGAATGCAGAATCTGGTATGCTCTCCGAGACGGTCGCATCTAGACTTTCGTAGAATTGCTAAAAAAAAAACCAGTGGACATATCATTCGTCGGTCAATAAATTATCTCTAGTAGTAATCAACAAAAAAAAAAAAAAAAAAAAAAAAGCGACGCAACATAATAACTATCGCCACGCAGATGAATACTTACTGCAAGGATATCCGTCTGTGTAAAGTCCTTCTGACCAAACCACGCGGCCGTGACGACCGCCAACCTCTGCCGCAGGACTCCAAATATAGGCTATGCATGTACGTAAAGGAATGGTCACACAAAGCGTTAGCATTAACATCACATTGACTGTCCACGCTTGTTTCGTAACTTGGTTGCATGGGCCTCCCTCAGCCCTCTGCAAAAAAGACAACAAATCGACTTTGTTACCTGCGTTGCAAGTACGACGACAGCCTTCTGGACAGAACTTCGAGTGACATCATCAGTCTTGACCATCAAGTCCTTTGTCAAGATCTGTCGGTTACAGGATATCCCGAACAATGTCTTTGAGGCGTCTTTGCGGCCCTTGACAGGAGGTAGGTGAAAGTACGTGAAATCCTCGTCGCTTTGATGGCTCCCGTCTAATCATGTCATGAATATCGTTGAAGTAAAAAAAATGAAGTGAGAAATTAATGGCTGTGAGTACTGACAACAGGGTTCTAGGTTACTGGAGATCAATTCATCAAGGGATCATCAAGGATGGGATACCTGGGAGGGCCAGAAATGGCAGCAGAGACCATTCTTCAGGCACGTCTAACCGCATAAGTGAAGTCTGAACAGTCTGACTGGGAAAGGGCGGGAAGGCGTATTCGACAATGGGGCCATGGGCATGGTGACTATTAAGAGTTCCAGTTCAAAGAGTGTGTTATGTTTCCTGTAAGTTGCGTCCGTGCCAAGAGAGCCAAGGGAAAAGCACGTTTTGTTGGGTGAGCATGGTTTGCTTGCAACCGGGAGGGGAGGAGACGTACAAACCCACGACAATTATATGCAGTATCACGCCCATCTCTGCCTGGCTGTTGAGAAGGACGATGGTGGGGGATGAAGAAAGGGGGCGGGATTAAGTCGCGACGGAGGAGATGTAAAGGGGGGATGAATGGCGGAGTGGGAGTAAAGAGGGTGTGATTACCCATGGGCGCAGAAGAAGGAAAAAGAGGTGGAACTTTAGGGGTACAACATTCTAATGACATTCCATATTTGGTCATTGTGGGGGGGGAAGATCCAGATCACTTCAGGAACAGGAGCCAAAGAGGAACCGGCATCACACCCAACCACCAATACACCAGCACTTACACGTAAACAGCCAAGGAAGAAAGCAAAAACGCAATGTTCATTGCTCATGCAGCCAAGGCACACGCACGGAGGGGCGTACTCGCCCAAGGAACACGATCTGCATTCACACCCTTACTTCGGCCCATGGGTGCGCGGTCACAGCTGATCCAGACCCGCCCATTCCTCTCCTGGCTATTCAATCCGAAGGAAGATCCCATCACGCCGAAAAAGCTTTCGCCACTCGTGCTGGATGAATCTGGACAGAGGTTGATTTTCTGGGACTCGACTTACACCACACCGCTTGTGAAACCAGAATTCAGCGGTAACGAACCAAAGAGCCAAGTAATCTGCATTAACGTCGTTAGGCATCTTGCGAGATACTCATATCGCTTCCTCAATAACGAATATGTGGACTTGTAGGCAGAGTGGTCTCGTCATTAAGTACAGGAGTACGTTCGTCGATCTGGGATGTCTTGTCGTGTTACTATCTCCATTCGATATGAACACAAACTAATCTGGGTTAATCTGGCAGATTGCTCATAGCTGCGCTATCGTCGACGGCAACATCCATGTCTGGGGGTCCAACTACTACAGTCAGGTACTTTTTGAATGGATGTCCAGATCGAAGTTTCTTTCCACCAAGGCACCAACAGGAATGCAAAGTACTAAAAAGACATCTCTCCGCTGTTGATACAGGTTGGACTCACAACAGAATCATTTCACGACGACGACTCGGACGATATAACGGATGTTCATTTTGTGAACCAATTGGCGAACGAAGTGATCGTCCAGGTTGCTTCAGGTATCTTTGTTGCTGTGCGGAGCAAACCCTCTCGCCCTCTATTCCCTCTGCATAGTGGAAGATCTGTGGCCATGAACCAAATCATTCCATTCAATTGACACTTCTTATTTTGTGTTTGACTACACTCGACGACGCAAAAATCAACTAGGCAGTTTCCATAACCTGGCACTCTCGAAGACAGGAAAGCTCTGGTCATGGGGATCTGGGTGCCTTGGCCGTGGTGACGAAGTTTATGACTCTCTTCCTCAACCCGTCGAGTTCTTTCACGCGCTCGGTCGCGACATCAAACAAATCTTTGCAGCAGGGTAGGTCAATTCTTTACTGTTTCCACAAACGTCCATTTTGATATCCTACAATCTTAAAGCACATTAATGCATGCGCTTCCTCCCTAATCTTCATCTGACTCTTACGAAACCAAATAGGAACTACTCCATGGCGCTCGCAAGACCCAAGGACGGGAACGATGACGAACTCTACATCTGGGGCTATATTCCCTTTGGCGAGAAAAACGAGGACGGCGAGGTTATCCCTGTGATGCGAAAGAGTCTCCGTCCACTCCTGGTCTCTTCCGTCCTGGGCTACGATATCTCTCATGTCGCTTGCAGTCCCTGGCACTTTACAGTCGCTGCAACGCCTGTCTCGAAATCTTCGTCATCGACATCATCAGCCAACGACGTGGAGCGCGAGCAGCCCCTATTGATGACTTTTGGAACGTATAGTGAGGCCATGCCGCTAGAGAAGCCATACAGTCCGTTTTATGCGGACATCCCCCCGGAAGATGAGTTTTATTATGTGGAACCGTGGCGGACATTCCATCCCGTACCGTCGACCTCGGACCTCGTTATCAAAAAGATGGCAGCCTCAAAAGGTAAGCCAATGCGGTATTCTCTGACCGTGTCGTCCTTTTGCTTGTGACATCGCGATTGCTTCTTCTTTCCTATCAGGAGATTAACAGGTTAACTTGGATTATCTGCCAGGCTGCGATATTCTGTTGATGGAGAACGGGAGTATTGGAGTAAGTGACCATGAAGACCATGTCGCACGATTGATCCATCATCCTCTAGACGTCTCGATCGTCGACGTCGCAGGAGGATCGTCCGAGGTGATCGCGGTCTCATCCGAAGGCCAAGTCCTCTCCTGGTCCGAGCCCTCTTCCTCTACCGCCTCACCAGACGATGGCTCTTCGTCGAACCCCAGGACAACGACGACGACAACCACAACCACAACCACGGCCTCTAAAATGGCCGACGACAGCTTACGTGCGCGATTCAATCTCAAGCACATGAGCCCGTCGGCTCTACATCCGCTTCTGGGTTTGACCAAGGACGAGAAACGGGCCGAGACCGAAGTCCTGGAGTTTTTTGATTCCCAGCTACGGACACAAGAGCAGAAGAAGCCCGTGCGGCTGGTCGAGGCTTTGTTTGAGTCCTCGAGATTAATCGTCCAGAAACCGGGCTTGTCGAAATGCGTGGCGGAATATGACAGATTCACTGTCTGCTGAATTAAAGAAAGGGTCGTTGGCGGGAAGAGGGAGCACTCCCTCGAAGAGATCTGTCTGTATAACAAATTATAAAATTGGAAAACAAAGATCTTGCGAACCTTTCGGGCGTAGACTATATATCTGATATCAGAAGAGCACCGCATCGCTTAAATAGCGGCTCCCAAACGAATGCTCCTGGCTTCCAGGCATTTATTCAGACTTGTCAGTATCTAGTCCGACCTATGGCTCACTGGCGGACTGCATCCATGGACAATATGTCTTATCAGTCGTAGTTTGCCTCTTGAAAGGCTCAAAAACCTGTCGAAGACTCTCTCTTGACCTTCCCTTGTCCCCCCCCTCCTTCCTGTTGAGTCCTCTTCCTGCTGAACCCTCCTTTCTCTTGAGCCCCCCGGTTTTACAAATGACCTCGATCTTATCTAACATGCCTACTGTTACACCTCTCCTGGTACCGCGCTTGTGTTACTCTGATAGATTTAATACAACGGAGCTGTTTATGTTTTTTGGTTATGTGTGAGCCAAAATGCAAGCACTGCTGCAAAAAAAAAAAAAAAATACAGGAACCATAGACTAGTAATAATGGATGGTACTCCTTCCAGCGCTTCCTTTAATGAGCCCTTTCGTTTATTACATGATGCGATAGTCCATTGAATAGTCTATGCCGTTTGCAATTGCTGAGCTATAGACTATGGGCTGCGCTACTGAGCCAAAAAAAAAAAAAAAAAAAAAAAAAAAAAAGGTCCGTTTGGGACTTTATTTTTCCTTCCCTCACGCGTAGTTCTCTCATTGATGATCGCATGGGGATTATTGAAGTATGCTACATAATAAGAAAACAATAATGATAATCTAACGTCTAGCGTACATAAAGTCTTTTGCGTGCCGCAGGACCTAATGTTGGTGCTTTGGTCGGGCAAGTTTTTTTTTTTTCTTTTTATTGTTCGTAAAATTGTGCCTTTTTTCTAGTTTCTGCGTGTGGGGACATTCACGTATTAGGTGTAGTACAATATATAGAGGTAGATCTGTCTTCCTTGTTTTCTTGCTCTCCTTTTGCTGCTCTCACGGTCGATCATGCTGAGTGTAGGTGGTGGTGATGGTAACGGTGGTGTTTCCTATGGGAATTTTCAACCTGCAAAAATCCTTTAGAAGAGCATGGCGGCAGCAGAGGCAACCAAGGCAACGGCACCGGTCAAGGCAGGGACCAGGGAGCCAGCAGCGCTGGGCTTGGTGGTATCACTGCCACCGGCGCTAGGTGCGGACGAAGAGGGAGCGGGGGCGCTCTTGGAGTTGATCTTGAACTTTCCAGAGTAGACGGGAGTGGGCTCGAGGACGATCTTGAGCGAGTAGAGGACGTTGGCACCGCTCCTGTCGGGGACAACCCAGGCGGGGTTGCCGGAGGACTTTGAGCAGTCGATGTAGGTGATGGTCTCGAGGAAGAAGGCGTTGTTGGTGTCGGTGGAGTTGACGAGCTGGACCTCGACCTTGGTGGGAGTGGTCGAGGTAGCGGTCGAGGGCGCGACACAGGCCATCTGCCAGGAGAAGGTGGTGTTGGCACCAGCTTCGTAGACCATGTCGTCAGTGATGGGGTTGGTGAAGAAGGTGTGGTTGGGGGTCTGGGCAGAGACGGTGGCGGCAGCGAGGGCCACGAGGGCAAGGGAAGCAGACTTGATGAACATTATGGATAGGATGTGTGTGTGGGGAGGGGGTATTGGGGTATGTGTGAAGAAGGAGAGTGATGAAGAAAGGAATGAGAGATGAGAAGACTGAGATCAGGAAGAAGAGAGGAAAGCGAGAGGGAGAAGGAGGGCGCCATTAAATACAAGGCCGGAGACCATGCTGCGAAGCCTTGGTGGTGCCGGTGTTAGTTGCGGTAGCAGTCTAGTCCAGTCTAGTCGCAGGCGGGCGGGTGCAGGTTGTACCTGGGAATGGGTTTCCAGGTATTGGGCAAGGCTCTCTCCCAAATGGGCCAATTTCAATCTATTTTAAACCAACCACTCATTTCTATGCATATTAAAACTCTCTTTGAACTCAACGCACAACTCCCACTCCATAAACCATGGGCCATGGGCCCACCTTTCTTCCAGGGGAGTCGCTTAGACTATTATTACAATCCAACTCAAAAAACAACGATGCAGAGGGGCTCTTGTGCGTGCTAGCTTGCCTGCTTCTCCTACACATCCCAGTCAAAGTGGGGAGTCACTGCTACTGAAGCATAAGCGATCCGCACCGAGCCTATTAGCACCACTGCCAGCATCACAAGGGCACAGAAAACTGGTAGGGGAAGTCTAGTAAAGCTACATTCTTTCTTGTGAGCAATTAAAAAAAAAAAACCGCCGGACCTATAATTATTGCGGCCACAGAACCATTTTACTATATCGGCACTGACAGAGACAGAGCGACAGACAATCGTAATCGCAATTCTCCTTAGTCAAGTCAGGGGGGAAGAGACGATCGAACAGGGCTAAAAAGACTCACCGTTCATGCCCAATGGCATCAGCAGAGAAACGGCCATCGTAGACTAAACTACCCTGCTACTTTTATTCATGCAAAACCAAGAATAAATAGCTTTTTTTTTTGTACGTGTAAGGAGAATGACGATGGCCACGACTCTCGGGCTCGCCACCCCCATCGTCATCATCGACAATCCTCTCCAAAAGAAAAGCAGCTCCCAAGTGGGCTTCCTTCGACCCCGCAATCCTGATCCTGCACCTGTGATTGGTGTCTTGTTTGTAGATAAGATGTCATGTCCCAAGTGCATGTAGCTCTTCATTTCCCAGCCTGGATCAAAAAGAAGAGAGCTGCTCCATCCTCCGGAAGCGCCGCCGGCAGCCCGTCCTATGCAGTCTGACCTCTCGCCTGCGGATGGATTGAGGGAGATCTTTGATTGCAGCACAATACACGCTATATGAAATAACTTACCAGAAATTCTATTTTTCAACACGCACACACAAACAAACAAAAAACGCCATCCATCCCATCCACACCACACGACCACCCTCGGAGATACATGTATGCCCTCATGCAGCCAGCCAGACATTTGTACACTTCTTCCCATTCCTTGAAACGGTATTTTTATGTGTTCATTGATGGCGCTAGTAACCTGATTATTATTTAAATTATTTTATCAAAGCACACATACCCATGGCGTGTGCTATGCTGCACTGCGCTACATGCTTTTCCACACCACTATCGATTCAGCATCCTCCGGACATCGGCCTTCAACCGATCCGACTCACTCAGCGCCTGATCCACTGATTTCGCCACCGTCGAGATACTCGTATTCGCCCTCGTCTGTGCCTCCCGACTCGCCACCGTCACCCCCGCTCCGGCTCCAGGGCTCTGCAACGCCTGGGACCTCGCCGTCCCAATGGCTGATGTCGCCATCGATCGCGATCTCAGCGACGTCTTCGAAACCGCTGTGTTCCCCATTGCTCCGACTCCCTGCACACTCGGCGGCAATCCTGCTGCAATCGGAGTCCTCAACGTCGCTGCTGCCGCCAATCTCGACGACGGGTTCGTTGGGGGCCCCCACGACCTGTACCCACACCTCCGACCAATGAACTCGTCGTCGCGCTCACTCCACTGGCCGTCTGCGAGATTGTCCGGCTCAGAAACGGTTTCACGGTCGAGACCAACTCCGTGAATGACTCTGTGAGCGCCCCGACCGCCAAGGTTGCGGTTGAGGGCTGGTTCGACACTGGAAGAGGAGGCGATGAAATCGCAGTGATGGGTCCGTTACTGTTGATGTTGTTGTTGCTGTTGGTCGGCCCAGGCGACAACGAAGCAAAGTTCGAGCTCGAGTGGAAGAACGAGCTGCTGGTCTGGCGCGACAGCGAACCTGTTCCTCCAGATCCTGAACCTGAACGCATCTTGCTCTCCATGATCTGCTGCTTCATCGCAGAGGGCGTCATCGGCTGCTCAGGACCGCTATGGAGTCCCACGCCGCCATTAGTCAAGATCGCAAGCGACCGTCGCTTGGCATGGGCAGCGCTCGCATTCAAGGTCTGGCTTGTTCTTGGCGAAGTCGCCGTCGACGACGGACCTACTGATGACTGCAGCAACCCCGGGTTACTCGACGCAATCTCGTACAGCACATCGGACGTCGCGCCGCTCGTTACGGCCTCGTGAAGATCGTTCGCTGTCTTGCGCCACTTGTCCTCCCAGTAAATCGAAACCCGTCTCCACTTCTCGATTTGGTTCTGGAGCTCGAGCTTCATAAAATCCTTCTCCATCCTCAGCTTCCGGTTCCAGTCCTGGGCCTTGGCCTTGTCCGCCCTCTCCTTATCGACATGACCATCGTGCTCCTCCTGGATTTTCTCCAACAGCACACGGAACTCGGATCGCAGCGTCGTCACCGTCGGGGACTTGATCGGATCATTGTTGTTGAATGACTTGATACCCAACAACATCGACCGGTAGTGCGTCAGCTGGGCGTTGAGCTCGTTGTTCTTGCGCTTCAACGTATTCGCCAGAGATTTCGCCCCGATCGCCTGCACCTGAATGTCCATAAAATGCTGCACGACTGTGTTGTAATCAAACAGCACCGACTCGAGCTCGCGCCGGATCGTCTTCAACAGCCCGCCGTCAGCCTTGGCAGACGCCAGCTGCTTCTGCGTCGTCACCAGCACCCGGTCCTTGGCCTCGAATCGTGCCTTGATGACGTCCATCTCCCGACTCAGCTTTTCGTTCTTCTCGAGCATCTCCTTATGGAGACCCTGGTACTTTATCGACTCGATCCTCGCGCGGTCAAGACTGCCCTCCGCAGCCGCCAGCTTGTCCTGGAGGTCATACTTCTTCATCTCCAGACTCTCAGCATGAGCTTCCGAGTTAGCCAGTGCCACACGGACATCATGCAGCGTGACTTCAAAGGCCTCGATACGGCGCTGGTACAGCGAGCTCTCAACCTTGGTCATCTGGAGCTCGTTGTTCAGCTTCCGGTTCTCCTTGACGAGGTCTTCCTTCGAGAGCGTCGATACATCGACAACGGCCGCATCCGAGCTCGAGTCGCCCGTGGCGTGCATGGTGTCCTTGACCATGGCCGCCAGACGCGACCGGTCAGACTCGAGGACGTTGACCTGGTCCATCAACCGTATGCGTTCCTTATCCGGACGAGCACCATCCAACCCCTGGGCGAGAAGGGACGAAGTCGAGGTCGAGAGCAACTGGAACTGGGCCGCCTTCAGCCTCAACCGGTTCTTGATCGTGTTCACCTTCTCGGACTTCTTCTTCCAGGCCTCCTTCTCCTTCTCGACCTGGATCAGCTTCATCTCGACCCGTTTCTTCTCACCCTCGGTCTCCTCCAACATCAACTTGAACAACTCCTTCTCGGCCTCGGATTCCTCCAGCTGATTCTTGAGCGCGGTCTGCTCCTTGGCTGGATCTTTACTTTTGTTCACCAGCTCTTTGTTCACCCTCTCCAGCTGCTCGATCTTCTGCTCACACTCCTTCTCGACCTCGGTCTTGGTGGTCTCGGCCTCGACCAACTGGGCCTTCATCCGTCTGTTTTCCTGCTCAACCAGGTTCAACCTCGCATCCTGGATCCGCTTCTCGGCCATCACGCGCTCCCAGTCCTGCAAGATCTGCTCCCATTCTTCTGTCTGTCTCATCTGCGGTGAGTACTGCGACAGTCGCTGATGGAGCTTACGTGTGGCCGGCAAATCATCCATCGCGTCCTGGAAGATATCGCCGTCGCCTTCGGCTTCCGCATCTTCTTCGGTGTCGTCCGTGACGGAAGCGGCGGACGAGGACGAGGGTGTGACCATGCCAGAGTGCTCGAGCACCGTCGTTGACGAGGGACCGTTCGTGAGGACATCATTTCCGATCGCTACCATGGCTTCGGAAGGGGCTAGGCTCTCGACTGCTGCTGCCGGTCCTGCTGCTGCTGCTGTTGTTGATGTTGTTGCGGATGCAGCGGTTGGGGTTGTGGGCTCGTCGACGGCGTCTGTGTCCTTTGCCTGAGCGACAGAGACCTGTCCTGACGTCTCTACAGTCATCTCTGAGTGAAAGAAGAGAAAATAGAGTCCTCTGTAGTATGGATCAACAGTTGTTCAAAAGGATCCCTGCTGCGGTTTTCTTTTTGCCCTGAGGACTGATGATTGGGTGCCTGAAAAGTACTACAGTGAGGGGTGCGATATTGCGGTGAGACACGCGCGTTTATAGGAAACAGATGAGAACACGAAACACCAGCCAGTTCAGGTACAAGGTAGATGGAATGAGAGATGAAGAAGGAGAGAAAGGGATGCATCGACCACAGGTTCATGCGTCCTCGGAAAACTGAGCGCTCATCTCTCTTCGTTTCTTTCACTGGTGAGTGCGCACTCTGCGGTTTTTTATTTTGTGGAGCTGGAGTGTGGAGCTAACTGACACCAATTAGGGACGCCCATAATTACCTTTTGGTTTTGCTGTTACTTTAATTCGCACAGCAATTGAGGAAGATAAAATGGAGGAGGAAGGTTAAGTGTTGGCTAGGTTATGTTTTAATGGGATCGATGGAGGGTGAGGAGAAAGGGAAGGGGTCAAGGGTCGAGGGAAAAAAAAAAAAAAAAAAAGGAAAGAAAAAAAAAGAGGTTAGTTGGCTAAAAGGTAACCGTTCTCGTTTTTGTTTTCTTTTCTTTTGTTTCTTTGAGCAAAGGTTACAGCACACAAATCCGGGCCAAAAGAACGAAGGACGCCCAGGCAGCCAGACCAGACCTTTTTGAACAACCTTCAGTTTACCCAAACCTAATAAATCATCATGTATTCCCTGTGTCCATGTCCTTCTTTCCTTCGCTTTCTGTGTTTGTTCAACATCGTGTTTGTTTGTCCGTCCCCCACGTACTACATGCACTCTTCTTTCCTGCTCTCAACCGACAAAAAAGAACAACGCCCACCTTGACCCTTTAGTCGGAAGGAGGGCACATGCTTCCAATGTAATTTATTTCATTTCAACCTGATATGAACACACACACACACACACACGTACACGCACACATAATCCTCTTCCATCAAGGGAACAATGCTACTACTTGAGTGATGGGTACGAACGGAAGTTATGGACTAATCCCTAGTCGCAGAGTTTGATCCGCTTCACTTTTCTCACTTTCTCACTTTTCCACCCCGTTCCTTGTCCTCCACATCTGCCCTATGAGGCGTACAGTATATTGTTTTTTTCTGCTTTTTTTTTTTGTGAGCTGGGCGATTGACATGTGGAGTTAGTTGAACCAGACGAACCTTAATCCCGCGCGCGCATCGCATTCACACACACCCACACCACCCACAGCCCTCTGGGTTTTTGGTTGGACACCGAAATAAAGTGCTCACAACTCAAAACTCCTCTCTCCCACAAAACGCACATGCCGTCCCCCCCCCCCCCCCCTTCCTCTTCCTCCTCCTCCTCATCCCCTTCATTCCAGCAAATACCTTCATTCCAGTAAATACGAGCGATCGAGCGGGCGGAGGGTAGTACCCCGCGACTGAAACCGGCCTACTGGCGTGTTCTGAACCCAATTTTTTTTTTTCATACATGGTACAAAACAGACTATCTCCTCCTCCACCCACACCCACGGCTCCTAACGGTACCCGAAGCTTGAAGATAGACGCGAACAGAGGTTTGCAAAGTCCTTATACATTTGCTGGCGGTATATAACTCTGTGAAAGCGTGGGAAGGAGGAGGAGGAGGAAGAAACGCAAAGTCGGTGCCTTGGCTGAGTTTTTCGATTGAGCATAGGGCACGCGCCTATACGGGTTGTAAAAAAAGGTCTATAACCTCCCTCCTCCTTCCTCCTCTCCTTCGGACCGCACAAAACGCGTCCTTCATTCTCCCCGATTCTGGCGGCAACGGAACCCCTCGCTCCAAGTTTAATCCGCACCGACGTCTCCACGGCCGCCGGAGGGACGCTGTGCTCCTGATCCTAGTCCTGGCCCAGTGTCCCATCATCATCATCATCATCACCACCACCGCCGCTGATCCCCCAGTAGCGACTAGGCTGAGTATGCCACTGTCGTTGTCATTGTTGCTGCCGCTGGCTCTTGTGGCTGTGGAGATGAAGTATCCAAAAAAACAAAAAAAAGACGGTATGACGGCGGACTCGGTCGTACATGTACAGACAAACATGAACGCGAGGACGATCCAGAAAACAAAGAGTCAGTACTTTCTTGTTTGTATTTTTTTTTTCTTTTTGATAGCGTTGAAGGAAATACGACACCTGTGGAAGGAGAATCATTGAAGAAGAGAGAAGGAAGGAGGAGGGAAGCGAGAAAAGGAAACAGATTGGGAACTTTGGAATGCTTACAGTTCCTAAATACTATCCGCCACATGGTACATGTAGACCTCTGAAATGCTTCCGAATACAGACGGACGAACGAAAAAGAGTGTTCGCTGTCTTATTTTTTTTATGTACAAGACCGACAACAAAGGATGTCTGTCAGCCAAAATTCAGAATCTACAGGAGGAGGGGGGAAGGGAGGGACAACTGTCCTTTTTTTTCTTTTCTTCTAAGCTTTCGGTTTCCGTCCGGGACGAGCACCAGAGACCGTCAACGTCGCTTTCGGGCCAGATCCATTCTTGTTCCTGCCCGCCTTCTCCTTCACCTGACCATCACCGGCCAAACCATCGGCTGGCTTAAACTTGTTCACGCCATGACCAGCGCTCGATGCTGCTGCTGCTGCTGCTGCCGACTTCTCATCCTCCGCAGCCGTCATCGCCGCAAGTCCCGCTGCCATGGCCGCCATCGCGTTCGCAATCGCATTCGACGCCGCTACATTGTCCGCATTCGAATCCTCTGACGATATCGATGATTTGCGGTCCGATCTCGAGCCATTGGACGATCCCGATCCTGTCGAAGAACCCGCTTCGGACTTGAGATGACCCGTCTCCGGACAATAGCTGTATCCGTACCCATTGCCCTGGCCCAAACCTGCACCCGCACCACCCATTCCTATGCTCTCGCCGTCGGGACCATAGCTCGATCCAGCCATCTCGTTATTCTTCAACAGCTCCTCACATATCTGGTCCACACCACCCATGGCCTCCATCACGCCTTTACCAAAGCTCGTCAGTCGATACACCCATTGTCTTCCTCGCTTGACCCCAAAGCTCTCGAACCTCGGCCGTGGATGTCCCTTCTCGTGCGCCAACGCATCCGAGATCTGCGCTCTCCAGATCTGCAGGTTCTTATGTCCTGTTCGGGGGATGCGGTTCAGATGCCTGCTGAACAGCTTCTCCACCATGCTGGCAACATCGTTCAATGTCCCCTGCAGCTCCGGTAACCGTGCCAGCGACAGGAACGCCATCTGCGAGTACGTCGGTAACTTGGATGACGGGTCCGGTTTGGATCGACGAGGTTGCGCATGTCCATTGCCCTTGACAAACCCTGGGTCCGTCAACACCTGTCGTCGAGACCGGACAGAGTGCACAGATCGATTCAATGTCTCTGCAATATCCTTGATCGGCATCAACTCGTCCACGAGCTTCAACAACAGCTTTTCCTCCTCGGCAGTCCAGGGCCGTTTATTGTTCGCATTCGACGACCGTGCTTTCTTGCCTGCTGTTGAGTCGGACGCCGACGACTCGGTAGGGGCTTTAAATGAATCTCCTGCTGGTGTATCCATGGTAGCATCGGGCGACGTTGCTTCTGGACCATCACCCTTTGCGGCATTCTCCTGTGGTGAGGGTGATGTCGGTGTGACAGGTTGGCTATCGTGAGCAGTCGCGTTCTGATCCAACCGTGCTGGGGGCAGGTTCAACTTCTCGACAATGGAGGACACGTCCACGGCTGTGGGTTGCAATGGTGGCGTGGTCCTGACCGAGGACGGTGGCGAGGGTAAAGCACTAAGCCTTGGCGATGTGCTGGACCCCCGATTGTCGACATTGTGACTAAGCTTTCTCTTTTTGGTGGGTGCCGGCAGGATAGTGATGGTGCTGGGGCTAGGCGGTTCATCCTTGAGGGCGTCTGCTGCGCTCCTCCTCCTGTTATGGCGTACAATAGCGGGTTGAATACTTAGCTCCTTCATCGAAGAAATACTTTTAGGCCGATGATGAGTCGCAACAGTGTTATTGCCATCATATTCTGAGTGTTGCTTTGCCGTCCTTGCTAAATCCACGCGTCCAGTCGCTGCCTTGGGCAACAACGGCGAGACTGGCGAGACCGGCGAACATCCCGCTGAAGAGGTTGCAGTCGTGGGATGCAAGAGAGGTGACGTCAATTCCGGTGTAACAGAGCCCGAAGTAGAAGGTGAGTATGTTGGCGAAGTGGGGAGTTCACCCTCAGGCTCCGCTGTTTCCATCGTAACATCCTGCAGAGCTGTCGCTGCCGACGTTGACGTTGACGTAGTTTCCAAACCCGGTGCCGAGGCTGCAAGATCGTCAAGATGCATTGGCGTGGGCATCGAAGTTGGACCAAGATCGCTCGGTCCCTGCTGTTCTGTTTCCAGATCGAGACACGCATTTGAGCCGGTGGACAACATGCCGAGGTTGGTGGCACTCTCCGTCATGAAATGCGGTACTGCTTTTGCCTGCGTCGCCGCCTGTGCCTGGGTCTGGGGGCCATTGAAGAGAAACTCGACAGAGTCCATTCCTGTGCCAGACCCTGTTGTCGCCGTAAAGAACTTTTCGCGCTGAATAGCAGCCTGGGTCTGTAATTCCTCCATTAGCATACGAAACAGGTCCTGAGGGGGAGATGGATCGCCGGCTGTGTAGAGCTCCATGGAGGTGTCCATATAGCTGGAGTGGTGAAGGAGCGATGGGTTGTCCAGGACCTCTTGCTTGATGTGGATTGAGTCCTGTGCCTGACAGTCCTTGCCGACAAGAGCGTCCGCTGCTGCACTGTCGTGCTGGTCAACGCTGGATGGGAATGCGGACGCAGGTGGGGACGAGGGAGACATGGCTGAGAACGATGGCGGGGACGGAGAGTAGGCAGAATGGGCCGGTGAGGGGACGTTGGACAAGGTCTCGTAGGGATCGGTCGCAGGGGAGGAGACGTTATCTTTGGCTACATGTGTGCTCGATAGCGGGCTAGAATCATGATCAAGGGTGTGACCGTGGTCTTCGACGTCTTCTTCGTCCTCCTGCTTTGCATGAATGTAATCGTAAATGTTGAGCTCCTCTTCGGCCTCGCCTGAAAGGGACGAGACGCCGTGGTGGTGGTGGTGATGCAGTGCTTGCGACCCCTGGACGACGCCCGTTGGATCAGCGGCCATATCTTGCATGAGGAATTGCCGTGTGATGTCCTCGAGCTGCTGCCGTTGCTCTTGGTCCTGACGGTGGTAGTCCTGATTCTGGTACAGCGAAGGGTCGTCTTGTATCTGTCCCTGGAGACGACCTTGGTTTGGGGAGAGCAATTGAAGCCTTGGATCCTGCGGAGGCAGGACAGCAATTGACAGCTCGGTATCCACCATTGGAAAGGTGTGGATAGGATCTTATCGGCGGTGGTGGTAAGGGTATTGCTGAATGTGTCACTGAGTGTGTGAGACTGGGTGACTTTGGGCGGGCTGGCTCCTTTTAGGAGAAGGAAGGAAGGATAATGTCGATAGCCTGGGTTCCTTGGGTTCCTTGGGTTCTGGTTATGCAATCAAAGAGGGTTGGGATTTCTTTTTTGTGGCGGGGGGCGTCTTGAATGGTTCATGCAGCGAGAGAGGAAGATAGAGGGAGATGGGGACACAAGTGGTCAGGTCAGGGTAGGGTCAGGCCAGGCCAGTGCAAAAAAAAAAGAAGAAAAGGGCACTACTCTCTCCCAGCCAATAGCGCCCGTGGGAGAGCAAGCGTGTTGATCAGCTTGGGAGGAAGCAGATGTCCCATGGTGATCCCCATGGACTTGTCACTACTCTTACCAACAACAACTACAGCAGCAGCAACTACAACAACAACACAACGACACACACACTCTCTCTCGAGACAGCAATGACGACCAACGACAAGACGGACGCGCGTGGGAGAACTAGGAGGGTATCGATTGCCACAAAGAAGTATGGGGTAGAAACAGGGCAATTGAATCAGAGGATTGGCACGGAAAAGAAAAAGACGCGTGGGGGAGAGGATCGACAGTGGAGTGGAGGCGAAGGAAGCAGAGGAGGAGGGGAGGAGAAGGAGGAGTGAGTGAAGAAAGAAGAAGAGAGAGGGGCAAGCAAAAGCCCAGTCAGTCGACAGAAAGAAGGAAGAACTCTTTTGCTTTCCCCCTAGGAGACAATATACTCATTCACACACTCCCATTCGAACCTTTTTTCTATTCTTTTGGACCGGGGAACATTCGCCATTAATTATTAACCATCGGCCATCAACCGCTCGTTCGAAAGAAGACGTATCTCCATTCCTTCGCCTCCATCCCCTCCATCATATCCTCACTTCCCAGATAAATCATCGTATCCCACTCAGTTACTTTCCCCCCATCGCTTTTGTCCTTTGTTGCACCAAGTACGAAAGTGTGGGGGAGGGCCACCATCCACTCCCCCTTTCCCCGTTCCTATTTGCATCGCCCTTTTCTCATGAACCAAACTTATACATACACCTCCCCTGCCCCACCCCTTCACTTGACCTACTCGCAATTCCTTCCTTCATGTTCCCTTCTTCATTTTCTCGCGTATATCGCGTTCATACCCTTCAGTCTTTGAGTCGCTCAGTGTGCTCTCACGAACCCATAAACTAAAAGCGCGATCTCAATTTACAATAACGCGTCTCAATCTATATATATCGCGGCTCGCCTGTCGACCTCTTTTTTTTTTTTTATCTCTCATCAGTTACGCGTTCCTGGAAAAAAAAAAAGAAAACTTTTGTCGTTTGCTTATCACCCTCCGTACCTATTAGTCCGTTGGTATGATAGCAGTAAAGATTGACACGTCAATATCGCGGGCAGAAACCTAGGCGTTTTGATTGTTGCCTCAACCCAAGGAATGCGCACGAGGACCAAAATCGCATTTTTTTTTTTTCGTTCAAACGAAAATGTGGTTATCCTTGTAATCTACTTCTGTCCCTCGTTTTTTTTTAAACCCTTCAAGGTTCTTCTAAAATAAAGACAAGAATAAGTAGGCTGCCCAGACTGTTTGAAGCTGTTTGAGGCTGTCGATTCTTTTCTGGTTCTCGTTTCTGTCCAGGTCGACAAGAATAGCACTCCCACCCCTCCCCGATCCTGCAACCAAAACTCAATTGGATCCGATTATTCAATTCAATAAAAATGCAACTTTATTGTAATAATGATGTAGCCCTATTCTCCGCTCCAATAAAAATGAAAGAGCCAGGGCCAGGGTGGAGGAGGATGCGGGAGGGATCATGCAACCACATATCCTCCTGAGATTACAGAGGTAAACTGCACCGCTGCCATGGCCATCCGACAAAGTCCCTTTTGGCGATCTGTCGTGGGTGAAGAGCGGTCAGCATACCACAAGGCGAGACAGCTTTGCCCCCTCACCCCTCTTCCCCTGAATCTTTGGCACATGGACGCACATGGCTCTGGCTGACCATGTCATTTCTCCTCCATGGTCCTACCCCGTGTCGCAGATAGTGTGGGAAACACTGTCCATCGACCTCTTCTTGTTTCCACAACTTGCGGGTTGATCTTTGCTGGGAATGCAAGCATAGCAAAAAATAAACCCTCCCTCATCACTGCAGTGACAAAAAGATGGCATCCGCAAGAGATGGTAGATATGACGATACTCAACAGATCTACACCGCATGGCATGGATAAAGAAGGAGCATCGCATCGCCAGAGATAAGGCCTTTTCTCTGACGAACGGGAGAAGGTTTTCTTTCCCTGCTGGCCATCCCACGCAGGAAGGAATGTACTGGACGTCCTTTCTTCTTTCCCCCTCTCTGAAGCTCTCTTGCCCAGGCCTGTGTCCCAGTCACGACGCGCTGCTGGACATTGCTTCTGCCTCAATGGAGTGACTGCAATCAATTGATTGGCCAATTGCCCAGTGCTTCTCACACTAAGGGATATGCGAAACTCCTCCTCTTTGGCATCGTCCATCTCAACCATGTCAGATCCCAGCACCAGCACCACGCGACATTACTCCCACGGCAGGGGCAGGTCCCGCTCACGGACAAGATCACCACCAGGCTCAAGATCGAGATCGAGATCGAGATCAAGATCAAGATCTCCCTCCAGACACTCACGCTCCCCCGCAAGACGCCACGACGACAGACGCCGTTCCCAGACCCCACCCACCCGTCACCCCCGCAATAGCCGCTCACCTAAGCCTCCTCCCAGGCATCATCGGTCCCGATCCCGATCCCCTAATAGACCCGGGTCTCAGTCCCTTTCAGTTGAAAAAAAACCAACATCGAGTAGCGGGCACAAGGGCCGAAGCCGAAGCAGGAGCAGGAGCAAGGATCGGAGAAGCAAGGACACTCGCAGGAGCCGAAGCAGGAGCAGGAGCAGAGACCGTGGAAGTAAGGATGACCGCAAGAGCAGGAACAGAAGCAGAAGCAAAAGTGGAAGCAAGAGCAGGAGTCGATCTAGAAGCACAGAGCGAAAAAATCGCTACCACAAATCATCTTCGTCCTCCAAGAGACGCTCCTCCAGATCACGCTCTAGATCCAGATCCCCATCGCGACACTCCAGCAAACACCGCCATCACCGTCACCACGGTACCACCGCTAGTAGTAATAGCAGCAGTCGTCGTCATCACGACCATCACAGGAGCAAACGCTCTCGTCGATCCAGATCCAGGTCTCGATCTCGGTCCACGGACAGCTTGAGCGGGTCAGATTCCTCCGCTTCTGAATCAGACCGCGACCGGAAGCGAAGCAGGAAACATAGTCGCAGGAAGAAGGATCGCAAGGACAGAAAGAAGGATAAGAAGGTAAATAGGGACTAATTTGGTCGTGGACTTTTTTTTTTTTTTTTTTTGCCGAAGCAAGGATTTTCTAGGAACTGATAGCCTTCAAATCGATACCGATATCATTCCCAATTTTTTTTTTTTTTTTTTTTTTTAGAAGAGCAAGAAGGAGAGGAAGAGCCACGCCTCTCATGCATACGGAACGTATGGTGTCTTGACCCCCGCAGAGTACGTCCTCTTTTAAAAAAATCCAAATACCTCAATACCTAATTCCTTCACCCTAACATTCCGTTTATTTTTCATCTTTTTGCTTCTCCCTCCTCATAATGTCTCTCTTAAAATATAGTATGTGGAACAAAGAAAACGAGTTCCAAGCCTGGCTCATGGAAGTTAAGAACCTCAACCCGGAAACCATCCCCCAGAACAAGATGAAGGAACACTTCCTCGGCTTCATGGAGGACTTCAACACTGTCACCATGCCCCACGAGAAATTCTACAACCTCACCCAATGGGAAGACCGCCAACGCGCCATCCGTATGGGTGAACCCTTGCCGGAACAGATCCAAGGCGCCGTCAACCTCATGAACGACGAGGAGCAACTCCGGATGAAACAACGTGACCGCAGAAAGATGAATCTCTCTAGTCAACCCCAGATCTTGATGACCCAGAATCAGCTCCAGGAGCTCCGGAAGGTTGCTCATGAGAGAGTTGAGGCCGATAGGCTGAGGAAGATGGGCTTTGATGCCGGGCGGAAGGGTGTTCGGTACGAATAGCATCTCTTGGTCCATGGAGGGAGGGTGTCACACAGGATTATCGTACGTAGCAACATCGAGAATACATCGTTTATTTAATAACAAAACAAGTGGTTTCATATTTTAAAAAAAATGGATCGAAGGGATTCTACAAAACTGCCGGGTATCAAGTGGTCATATTTTTTTGAGGGTAAAGATTGTTTGGGCGATTGGTATACATGATGTACAAAAAAAAAAAAAAAGAATGGTGGCTACCTGGTATACAATGATAAAAAAAAAAAAAAAAAGACGGATCACTGCCGGGAGTGGTGTGGAGGGGGGGGGGGTCTTTACATGGCAGCGATCGATTCCTCCATCGATCCAAGCTTCTTAAAATCCTCGTCAAAGTTATACGTCGGCACCGTGAACGACAGGGCCGAGAGAATATTGCCCGTATTCATGTTCATGTTCATGCTCATCCACGACGACGCCGAGGTCGTGCCCAGCTTCTTGATCTGCTGCTGATGTGTCTTCTCCTTCTGCACAGCCGACTCGTTCCCACTCAATGAACTCGACGAGTACCGCAACGAAGCCGAAGACGTCGAGGACATCCCCGCCAACAATGCCGACCTCAACGCCGCCGACGACCTCGCCGCCGCAAACGACGACCCAAACATCGGTGCATACGGCGATGGCGAACGCGCCCCAATCGACGACGACAGTGAAGATCCATACCTCTCCAGCTCCACAAACGAATCGTTCGAGGAGCTCATCATCGAGTCCAGACTAGAGGACGAATCCGTGAGACTGGCAAGAGAGCCAGCCCCAGGTCCATTCTTCTGAAGTGTCTTTCCTCCTCGTCGGTCGTTCCTGTGGTTGCTGGCCGCGGGATGGCCCATGACAGTTCCATCCTCTGAAGACGACAGCGACGGGCGACGACTATTGATGACGCTCAAGCCCTGGTTGTTATTGCGGTTGCCGCCCCATGGACCAGGCGGACTCTGTTGGCTGACACTACTGTTCCTACGTGCCGTGGGGTTCAAGAGCATGTTCTGCTGATTTGGACGTCCTGGGCCAGCCGAAGCAGCTCTCTTGAGCTTGTTGCTATGAGGTCCCGCAGGTGTATTGACGTTAGATCTGCCGCCCTTGCCATTGGAGTTCTGTTTCGTTGTCGAGAAGGAAGTCGATCGCCGCAACGTTTTTGCCCAGTCGATCGGATCGCCGTACGTTGTCGACATGGGGTTCAAGGCGCCGTTCTTGAAATCGCCGCCAGCGACAGAGATCGATCGAGAGTGCATGGGGGGCCTCGATGGAAGAGGCTTGTTGAAAGCTGTGTATCTGCGGTTGCCACCAGGCGAGAACGGTGGTCGCTCGATCTTTGGTGGCGCTGGCTTGACCTGTGCGGGGGTGGGCGAACGGAGGGGTAGAGGTGCAGGTGTTGCGATGATGGCGCCAAAGTTATCCTCGCTCTGGGATGTGCTGACGATGAAGTAGCCCCATTGAGATGTCTGCATGGGAAACCCAGGCAAGCCAGGCGATGCCACATTGACGGAGGGACACCATGGCCTGGGCTTGGACCAGTTCGGCTTGTCTGACTTAACGAGCATGAACTTTTTCACTGTACTCGAGTCCATGGAGATGGATGAGACCATTTTGCCACGCAGGAATCGGTTCGATGCGTTCCAGTTCGGAGAAGTCAGCGGGCTCTTATGCGGGCCTTCCGTTGAGGATCGTCGCAGTGTTGGTGAACCCATGGTAGAGGCCCAGTCGCCGCCGTCAACGCTATTGCCGCTACCGACCAGAGTCTTGTCCTCCGCCTCCTCCTTCTTGATCAGAGCCTCGTTGGCCTTTTCCTTCAGCAGAGTGTGGTGGCCGTGCAGTTTGGAGCCCACGGCATCGAGCGACGTCTTAAGGTTGGACCATCGATTCTTCAGGCATTTCTGACGTTCAAGCATGGTAAGGCTAGGGTACAAAGGCGAATGGTCCATAGCTGGCGACGGGGGCGAAGAGGCGGACGCACGAAGTTGGTTGGTGTCCGAGTTGGCGGTTGCTGGCGTAGTTGGCGACATAGCTGCGGCCTTGGACCGGTGCTGGATCTCGCCCTCCTGCACCCAAAACATATTTTCAATAGCCGGTGCGACCGTCGTCTGCTTCTCGTCCAGTTCCTGCAGGGCTGCCCACAGCGTCTCCAGGTCGACCGCGTTACCCGAGTCCATGAACGAGTTGTTCCTTGTCAACGACTTGCTCTGAGCAATGTCGCGTGTCACAATCGTCATCGACTGCTGAGAAATGCCGGAGGTCAGTTCCTCGACCGACTGCTGTCCATCCAGGGTCGCCAGCAGATTGACACACATCTTATGGAAGATCTCCACAGGTTCCAGCATGGCCTCGATCTGTGTTGCCATCTTCTCGATCCGTGTCCGCCAACGATCACATTCCTCAAGATCCCGCCAGAGCTGGTCCTTTCGTGTTCGCAGATTGTGCCAGTCCTTCAGCAACTCCCGATAAAGTTTGTGCATAACGTACTTCTTTTCCGCAATCGATCCAGATTCCTGCTGTTGGCTGCTGCGACCCTTGGCCTTGAGTGCCTTGCCTGACCGCGTGCATTCGGGATATGACTTTTGCAAAGTATCGATCTGTAGTGAGAGCAGACCGAGCCTCGAGTCGAGCTCCAACATGTCATTGCTGTCCACACCTGAAGACCTCGCCCGAGCACGTAACAAGGCAACGCCTTCGTCGCTGCTCAGGCTGTTGCTGCTACCGTTGCGTGAGGCTGCTTCCTCTGCTAATGCGAGCTCTCTGGTGCGCTGTCTGTCCATGGCAATATCCCCCAAACACTTGTCGAAAATACCGCTGGCCATCCTCAACTGCTCCGAAATGTTTCGCACGCCCTGGATGCCGTCTCGAAGTCGTTGATGTTCCCGCGCAGATGTGCCCAGATCGCTGATGATCTCACGAAGACGCGACCATTGCTCCATAGTCGCCTCAATCTCCGGACTGAGTGGGGTCTCTTGATGCTCGTCTTCAGAGTCGGATGCTGATGATGAGGATCGCTGTGCGATAAAGTCTTCTAGCTGCAGGAGGATTTCGATGCTCGACTGGATTGTTGGTACGTAGTGACCAATTCCCGACACCACGTCCTGAATCTCTATTTCAAGCTCTTCATCTTCTTCTTCGTCTCGCCCCTGGTACTGCTGTGACTCTGTGACGGTATCGAGGAGACCTAGGGCAGCCTGGATCCATGTCAGGAGCTGTTGTGAGCTGGAATGGTGCCTCTCCCGCAAAAGATCGATGGGCATGTCATCACTGAGGACGAGAGTGTGGTATAACGTCTTGTATGGCAGAGGTATCTGCTCTAGTTCGGCCACTTCTGAGAGACCGTCCAGTCGTTGTGAAGCGGTCGCCATGGCTGGAGATGATATGAGTGTGTGTTGGTGTGAAGTTGGTGTACCAGATTCTTCGGCGGCCAATAATAAAGTAGAATATCGATGATACTACGCGTTGGATAGTATGCTCGTTGATGATGATGATATCGCTGCCGAAAGGCTTCACGTTTGAGTCGTAGAGAGCGCCAGGCCTAATAACGTTTAAGGAGCAGGTAGGAAGAGAGGAGAGAAGAGAAGAGAGAGGAATGGTCGAAAGAGAATGAATATGCGAGCTGATTGGAGAGAGAAAATAGAATGCTGCTAACTGGTTGTGTGAATGGAATGCAGGTGAGCAAACAGCCAGAGCAAGAAAAAAAAAAGATAAGTGACAAGAAAAGAGAAGGAGCAAAACGAGCGCGTGGAATAGAGCAGGTCTCCAATAGGGAAGGCCGATGGTCCTCATCATCTTCTGTCAATTGATACGGAGGCCAGCAGAGGACCCATTAGTTATAGGAAAACAAGGGCGGCAGCATTACGATTTGATGTAAAGGCCGAAGAGATCGGAAGGGCAATAAGACAAGGGTCGTCTAGAAGATTGACAGGAGAGTGCACTCTGACAAAAAAAAAAAAAAAAAAAGCTCACTTGCTGTTGCTGTTGCTGTTGCTCTTTGAATGTATAGATAGATAAGAACGTAGGTACGCTGGCATGTTTGTTCTTGAGCTCAGGTTGTCAGAAATGATTGTAATTAACCCAAAACTAAAAAAAATAAAAGAGATGCTACCCGAAAAGGGTGCATATGAGCAAAGCATCCCAGGAGATGTTCAGATGGTGAAAGAGCCCTTCCGCGGGGGTATGGGCAAAGTACGAAAACGAATTGGACATGAACAAGGAACATGTAGACCATTTGTAGGGAGTTGCCGAAGGGTGACAACATGAATGCATCGGCAGTGTTTCGATTTCAAAGATAAAAGAGGCAATAGCCGATGCGACCAAAAGAGGGTATGACAAACAACCAACGGTCAACTGGAAAGAGAGGGGACATGTAGAGAGAAAGAGGTGACGAAAAAAATAATATATATCGCGTGGAATGCAGCATCAGGGCCTGCTCCCCTGGGGCATCTCCTCAATAGTTCTCGTCGGTGTTGGTTACCATCATCGTCCATCATCCGTGCACGACCCCTTCTTGACGCGTCCCTATTGATTGGGTTTCAGCGAATCACATTTCGAGCGTTTGTTCGCGTCAAGGTCGCGTCTTCGCGTTCCAAAGACTGCATCAGTGCCGCCAGTCTCCCTTAATAGCCAAAGGGTACTAGGTGCAGCCCAAGGGGGACATGCATCCGACACAAGACCGGGAAAGAAAAGAACAGCAAGGAGAGAGCGACATACAGCTTGGAACAAAAAAATACAGCAAATGCAGAGAAAAAGGAGGGGGGAGGAAATAAGGACAGTAACTGAGGGAGGGAAGACCACGACATAGACGGCGTAATAGAGGACAAGATAGTGAGTCAGGCGAGAGAAAGTTTCTTTGTTGTCGAGGGAAATGGAAAGGAGAAGGCGTATGGGATCGGGATCAGTATGGAGGTTGCGATTGCAGAGTTGGGTGTGTGTGTGTGTCAAGCCAACACCATGTGTTCCTGAATTTGCTGCCCAGCTTCCAGCGGTATCACACAAGGGTGTCCGTTCTCTCCAACGGCTGCCCCGGAGTTGGGGTTGAATGGCCCCATGGTCGCTAACAAGACGAATTGGGATTCGCTTGTGCATGGGAAGGGAGTTGTTACTCACCGCGTGTATGTGCTGTGCAAGTGTCTGTGGGTAGTGTGAGAGGCAGAACCTGGGTAGGGTGTGCTTATGTTTGTGCTGCTGTTGTTATTGTTGTTGTTGTTGTTGTTGTTGTATGTTTGTTGAGTATAGCTTAAGAGAAAGTGTGGGTATTCAGGTAGTTGGAATGAGGCAAGGAATGGTAGGATGAATGAGTGCAAGAAGGACACGCATGAGGATAACGAGGAGTGGAATAAGGGTGTAAAGCGTAGAAGGGAGAGAAGGGAGGGAAAGAGAGGGAGAAGAAGTGAGGTAAGGTAAGACGGGGTGGGGTGGGGGATGATAGGTCAAGAGGTCAAGGGAACTAAACGACGATCGAAGAGGATGCAGGAATGATAATGTCCATTGCTCATTACCCCCATTTCCTTCCCTCACTCGCACGCATAAGGCCACAAACACACCCGTAAAGAGTACCTGTTTGTTTTTTTGTGCCTGTGAAATAAGTGAACGTGAATGTGAATATAGACTAGGTTGGGTGGGTGTGCATATGGTTTTGCACTACATGGGTATGGTATGCCATGGTAACAATAAGATCCCGATAGAAAGACTATGGGGTGTGCACATGCATCTCAATGCTGTCTGTCGGTGTTTGTTGTTGCGTATTGCACGCACTGAAAGAGAGAGAAGGAAAAGACAGTATCGGTGCTGGGATGGGGAGCGGAGGCAAAGAGGCGCGGCATCTTCTGTTTCTTGTTTTCTTCACTTGACAATGGAACGAGGATCGCTCCAATTGCCATATGATAATGACAGCTACACTTGGTCTAGTATCTTTTTTGTATACACGCACACAAAAAAGAATCATTACACACGCGCCACGACATGCGAATGCGATTGACCATTGCCCTTTGCCTTTTGCCCTTTGTTCACTGGCAATTGCCAATTGACATTGAACTCTCTGTAATCACCTCTGTGCAAGGTGAGGGTTTATAGTGATACGATCGCATCGCAAGTTTTTTTTTTATGTGTTTGAACTTACCAATTCTTTTTTTTTTGTTCGCCTTGCGTTCACTGCTCCGATCAGCCGATTGAGAACAGGAAAAGACTTTCTTCGACAGCAACGTAACAAAAGATATTCGATAAGGAATAACAGCAGGAATGGAGGGAAGAAGGACAAAAATACGATGAAGTGCAGTAAATGAGAGAGAAAAGAGGGACAACTATGTTTCCATCTGTCCCCTGCCGTCCTGATCGGCCTGACCGGTTAAGGCATCATCATCATCATCATCATACACATCCTGTGGTACACCATCTTGCAGCATGCATGGAAATGGATCCTTCGTCCCCCCATCTCGCTACTCAACAGAACCCCTTCTCCCTTTGGACCGCACAAGTAACCAGTCATTTTATTTTCATTCCTTAATGTCCCTCACCTCACCCTCCCTCCACAAAGTAGCCTCCATTGTCGACAATTCAAGAAATAATTCTATTCTAGTCCGATGCGACCTTGTCTCTGTAACCACAGGCCAGGAAAGAGAATAACCCTGTCATGACTGCGGCGTGCCAGGTTACCTTTCTGCCTGAACAATCAGAGCACATGTCCTACGCGTGAGTTGACCAAGCAAAACAAGCAGGATGTAGACTAGCACAAGTTTGCGTCAGCAATTTGTCCTATGTCGATGGAGAAGGGTCCTTCTTGTTTGTATTCTCTGGCACAAAGGAAATCCGCCTTGCTTTGGAGCGGTCCCTCCCCTCCTCCATCGCCTCCAAGCGACACCCCTACCTAGACCATGGCCGTATATGTTCAAAGCACCTGCACTGTATTTACTTTTCTTCCTTTCCTCCCTTCTGACCTTCCGTCCTTACTCCCAGCATTTTTTACTTTTTTACCGACCTGCGGGATCTAATCTTGTCCAGCTCACTCTTGCATTCAGCCATGCATACGTAGACTATACTGTCCATCCTCTAACTTTCGATGCTAAGGACATTCCGCCTCTTTGCCTATTGGTCTACATACTGTACATGTTGTTTGCTTTACTATCTTCTCAACTAGCCACTATATAACGTTTCGGAAAGGAACAATGTACAACGGTACGGGGGTCTTGGAAAGGTTAAGTCAAAAGGAGGGCGTTCTGGGTTCTTCTCTCAGGCACAATAATGCTTAAGCAGCTGCTGTGTCAGCAGCCATTCGTTCTACTCGTTAGCTAATACACAGGGATTTGTGTTCTTAGTTCTTCGTTCTCTTTGAATTGGTCGCATTAACCCTCTTTATTCGACGCATGAATTGGCTTCAGACACGGGAACCAATTGGCTCACACGACTCTATAGAGAGATGGGAAGGCGCGCAGGGGATAGGAGGATCTGGGCATCGCACGACGAGGGACCATACCTATTTGAACATACGGCGGGCGTTCTCTTCCCCCTTGGGAGCCTTAAAGCCTGAAAATCGAGGTATATTGCACTTGAATTGTCACATTATTCATGCAAGGATGCGCTTCGCCTTTTTTGTCCCCAGCGACAGCCGGACTCTGACTTTGAAAGAATGACCAGTCTTCCCAGGGGTCAATGGTCAAGCGCTGCGCAAGAAGGAGAGTGATGATATAGAAGGGGGAATGATGATATGTCAAGGCGTAGGCATGAGGCGCAGGCACAGCAGCAGAAGAGCACCATTACCACCATCATCCATTCCTCTACCTGCATGGATGCACACTTGGGCTTGCGGAAGAAAAGAAGGCGACTCCGATTTTGGATAGCCAATGCACAGAGAAGAACAAGAGCTCGCCTTTCATAAAGCGCCGCGTATGTCCCTCATAGACAGCTTGCATCATATCCGTAACGGGTTATCGGCCATGCTGGTGTCTGAAATAAACGTTCATGAGAAAGAAATACAGGAAGTCGGCGACAGCATGATCTGTCACACAGTACGAACATACTCTCAAGCGGACCGCCACCTCTTCCTCCTCCTCCTCTTCCCCCCCCCCCCCCCCCCCCCCCCCTCCAAAAAAAAAAAAAGCGTCCATCGTTTCGTACATTCGTAGAAAATATACACTTTCGTGGAACGCGCTAGTGTAATCGTATCCTGTACGTGAAAGGACACTGTAACACTGTAGGAGGATGGTTTGTGTCCGTTTTTGTTGGTATCAATGGAGGAGGAAAAGGGCTCAGATAAATGATTACGAGACTCTCAATCCATCCGCCATTGATTTTTTCTTACTTGCTCCGCTGCTTGTGAACAAAGAGGACGAGTGGCGAGAGAGAGTGGGGAAGATGAATATTGCTCTCATCACCGTGGCTCTCCATTCATTTCTCTCCATGCCAATTCCTGCCTATGGTGGGTGGATATGTCTCCCAGTCCCTCTAGAATTAAAGCGAAACATACTGCAGAGATAGAGAGCGTGCGTGGAGCTCTTTCGCTAAATATTAATAAATTGGTCGATAACATCGAACAGGATGTTCCAGACTCTTGTGGGAACCATGCGAGGCTGCTGTGAAGATGGGGAAGGGAAGAGTTGTGCCGGAAGCGAGAGCGCTCGCCAAATGGGCGCCAGCCTTCGCGACCGCAACCCTATCCCCCTCGATAAACATTTTATCCGCTCGTTTCTGCATGTCTTACTTCAACGTATTATTGGATTTGTCGCGAATACGTGCTTGTACATAATGAACACACGAAGTTAGTTCACGGAGAGCAAATAACTGCTCAATTGAAAAGATCCACGGACATGCTTCTAATTAATGGTCCACTGTGATATAACACGAAACTACTGGAGAGGAGCAACTGTCGCAGGTTTAGTTTCAAGATAAAGATGTTTTTGTTGTTTTTTCCTTCCGTTGAGTTGACATTTGCAGACGTAAAGGAAAAAAGGAAAAAAGAAATAAACCATACCTCCGAGGTGTAAGGCAGACACGCTTCATTTTTTCTATTTGTGTATTAGCGAGAATTGTTTACTCGTCGAGGCACACTAGAAGCATCCGTACATACGTGAGCCTGGTGGAGGAGAGAGTGGGGCCAGCAGAAAGGCTCTCGACAAAGCTGCTGTATATTATGTTTCTGGTAGGGATAGGGCATGCATTGAGGCGCCATGCATGCGACCTGCATCAAGAGGACACATCTATTCGGTCTTTTATCGATCGTTTCTAAATCGTCTTTGCAGCTGTTGAAATACATCGATATCTGTCTGTTATTGCCTATCTGTGGCGATGTTTCGCTTCCTCGAGATTTGTTTGTGTCCCCTCTATATTTGGCGACATCAATTATTTATTCCGTAGATGCTGCTTGAGCTGTCCGGAAATGAACATCGGAATGTTGCGCCATAGAGGGCGCACGTTGTTCATTCAGGCGTGTGTTTAGCGTGTCCATCCATCTATCTGGACGGAGATGAAGCAACGGGTGAACAGAAGGCAGAGGGTATCTGGGCATACGAGTACTGGCTGTGTGGTACTGTAGACATCCTTGTCGATGTTCTCGGGCGAAAAAGCTGCTTTAGCCTGTCAAGAGGACAGCAGAGAAGGAGTTCCCGCCTAGAACACAGAACAGCTGTCTCAGCGCAATGTTTGCAGGCTAATCAAGGAGCCAATCAAACATAAAAAGATAAAGTTCTTTTTTTTTTTTTTAACTCTTCTCCTCTCTTGCTGCTCCGCCCGTTCCAGTCATCTCCTCTCATTCATTCCTCCTTCCTTCCTTCGTTCATCTTTCTTTCTTTCGTCCTCTTCATTCTTCATCAACTTTGCACTTTTACTTCTCTTCGCTTTTGCATCTCTTTTTTTTTGCGTCGATTCCTTACTTCACTTTGGGTTTCACACTTTTGTGTTCAAATTTTGGCACACATACCACACCACGCCAGTCCGTGCTTGAATATTTTCCGAACACCTAGTCCTTCAACAGCTACACCTCACGAACCCATATCACTTCTCATTCTTTCCTGGCACCAAGGCATTCTTCAAGGACCATTGTACAGTTTTGCATATCCTCCCTGCCTTTATTCGCACTCCCTCGCTGTTAACGAACGAGCCGCGGGATCTTTCTTTCCAATCAGCGAGCCAATACCCGACAAAGTTTCCGTCACGACAACGAGTCCCTTTCTCTTGGTCTCTCCACACCGCGCCTCTCGGACTAGCCCTTCCACTGCACTACCCTTCCTCGTCTCCCTTTGTATATTATCCTCCTTTCCTCTCCCTCTCAGTTTATCCGATACACTTCTACAATCATGGGTGGCATCGTCTGGAATGAATGGGCGCGCTTGATGTGCCTCTCATCCTCTTTTAGTAAGTCCTTTTTTACTTTGCTTTTCAGCCGCTGCAGCCTTACTGGCTTAGTCCTTGGACTTGAGGACATACTATGGTCCGGTCGTTGTTTACGAGAGCATTAGACTAATTGCTGTCGTTTGCTGTTATTCCTGATATTAGTTATCTTTGTCGGAGGCATTCTCGGCACTTTTCAACCCTTGCCAGCGTTCGATGCCATGAGGTAAGGCCTTTACATTCCAGTGGGCAAGGAAATAATAATCAAAACTGCATGGCGCACAGCCCTTCCAAAACAAACTACAACAAGATGAAGCAGGGGATGAGGTCCCAACGTGTGATCTGTCCTTCCTGAATCAATAATCCTAGATTTGTTGACGTGTTTTGTGTTTGCTTGTTTGCTTACTCTCGTTTCATTGCTTACCCTATAGAAAGCTGCCCGGACTCTATGCAGAACCAGTACCGGTACTGCCGGTCATCCTCATGTAAGATGACATAACAACCTACTTACCTCAGCCCATGCCTTGCTCTACTGCTGTTTTCAATTCGGACTTTCTTGCTACAAATGATGCTCGCAGCTCTAACGTGCTATTGCTTCTTTTTTCTTCATACAGTCCTCTAGGGATGGCCCTTGCTGCGATCGAATACCCACTTGTGATGCCAGAATATTTAAGCAGCTCGAGTGCGTTTATGCCAAAGGTTGCATTCTATATTCCCCTGGCTGTCCTGGCCCTGCTGGAAGCACAGACCGTGAATGGAGGTGTCTATCTTGCCATTGGAACTGTGGCCTACTTGATGGCCATCCGCGCCGACTTTATGAAGCAGCAGGCTACCTCCTCATCACGGATGCCATAACGCAAGGTTGTCCTGAGAAATCGGAAGCCCCAATGATCAATTGGACAAACCCAGGATGTCTGCCGCCGTTCTGAACATATATCCAGAAGAAAGAAAAAAAAAAAAAAAAAAAAAAAAAAAAAAGATAAGACCTTCTCGAAGAGGGACAGCACCAGCACCATGCCCTTTATCTGAACAACTGAAAAGCTAGAGCCTCATCATACCCGCCATTGTACCATAGTCCTTTCTCTCCATTCATTTCATCCAATAAAAAAGAAGCAAACAAGCCATGTGAAGCGGCTAATAAAGTTCAGGCTATTTTTTTATTTGCTGGCTTTGCTGAAGCGAAATGCCACACGCCTGCTTCAAATATTCTCAGCAGGCGTGCCAGCCTCGGTGGCAGACATACCAATCGCCCCTGAAGCACTTTGTATCAGTTTCATACGGGCAGGGACAATGGATCGGTTGGTCTACACAGACATCTGTATCTGCACAGTAGTATCCAGCACAGCCTTCACACGGACCAAGATAAAAAGAAAAAAAATAAAAGGAACCAAGCGTTAGTTGATGGTGCGTGTTTCATACGCGGACTTGCCTCTTTTGATTAGTGCACCACTTCCCGTAAGCCTTTTTTTTTTTTTTTTTTTTTCGTGCTGTACCTTCGGAGTTGGTTCCTGTCTGATTCAGATCGTCCTGGCCGCCGTTCTCATCATCCTCGTCATGTGTGCCGAAAAAGTCACCAAAGGGGAATTGGCTATGCTGGCGTTTCTCGCGTCGCCGTCTTTGTTGCTCTGCAGTCTGCTCGCGCTGATGGTCCTGCTGCTTCTGACGCCCATACGTCGGTGATGTAGGGGGAAATAGGTCTGAGAGTGGGGCACCGAACGGTGGGGGGTCTGTACTACTATGGGTACTCGTTGGTGTGACACTGAACGATGAAGAATCTGTAGATGTGGTATCGAGAATAGGTTTGAAGAAGCGAACTAATTGGTCGATCGGGGACTCTGACGATGTGAGTATTGAGTATCCGCAGATAAAAAGGACAAGTGTGAGGAGTAAGACGATACGTATGGAGGTTCTTGAAGAGGGGGAGGATGAAGCGATGTTGGCGTCTTCTGATGGCGTTGGTGGGCTGGAGAGTTGCTTTTGAGATGTCGATCGTGGTGAGGGGAGTAGAGTCTTCGAGTCAGTCTTAGGGAATACTTCTGAGGAGGACATGGCTTGGTTTTCAGTGAGCTGTTTGTACGAGGGGGTATGAGAAGAGGAATGGCGATCAGGGTGTAGCTGGTAATGTGATCAGGGTGTAGCTGGCAACGTGATCAGGGTGTAGCTGGCAATGTGATCAGGGTGTAGCTGGCAACGTGATGAGGAGGCGTGCGTTGGCAGCACATCTTTTGTTCGCACGATTGACGTGACTGTAGGTACAAGACATCGAAGCCACTGGGTGCTCAATTGCAAATTTTCTGGCCCAAACCAGATTCTGGTTCCTCTCTACTTTTCCTCCCACCACCTCTTCCTCTTTTTCACATACACCCGTGTTTTTGACACCGACTTGCACGCAGCTCATGGATAGCCATCGAAGCGAGGTCGACGAATCCGTTGTGGTCACCACCAGCGACGAGTATGTTTCCTCATCGACTACCAGCGTAACAATTACTAATGTGCGTTCTCAAACAACAGCGATCTCAACTGCAGAGGGGTCAAAAGGCGACATCCCCCCCACCTCGAGTGACTCGAAGAAAATCATGTCACTTGAGCAGGAACTGCACTCCCTGTCGAAACCCAACAAGACATTCGAGAACTGGGCTAGGACGTTCCGATGTGCGCCCGAGCAGTACTATATCCCAACAAAGGAAGAGGATGTCGCCAAGGTAAAAAAGACAATGACATTGGAAAAAAACGCTTTTTTCGTTCCAGACTTTTGTCGCGAAAGTGTGATACGAAAAAACGGCCCTGCTTGATTTAGCTGGGTCGTGATCCGCCATGGTCACACAGGATGCATACTGCATTATTCAATCTTTTCTTCAACGGTGAGTGTACAGAAACATAGATGACACTAATGCTTATTCGCACCATTCTTTTGTTCTCATTTTGTACGGTTCATATTCATGTCCTGGATGGAATGGAATGCCCACTACATAGATTATCCGCTTGGCGAGACTCTCAGGCAAGTGCGTCAAGGCCGTCGGCACGGGTCACTCTCCCTCAGACCTTGCGTGCACAACCGGGTTCATGATCAACACGGACAAGCTCAACAAATCTATCAAAGTGGATATGGAAAGAATGACTATCGAAATCGAGGCTGGTATGAAACTTCATGAGCTGAACAGTATCTTGGAGAAGGAAGGTCTTGCAATGAGCAATCTAGGCTCGATCTCGGATCAGAGTGTTGCAGGAGCCATATCCACAGCCACACATGGGTCCGGCGCAAAATATTCTACCCTAAGCGCTGCGGTAAGCTATTCATTCACCGCTATTTTAGAAATAGTAATGCACGAAAGCAGAAGTTGTTGCTTGTTTAGTTACTCATGCAAATGATAACTAGGTGGTCGACTTGACAATGATCACGGCCAACGGGGAGTCGCTTTATTGTTCCAAGTTAGTGAACCCAGACGTCTTCTACGCTGCTATCTGCTCAATGGGGTCACTCGGTATCATCACCAAGTTGACTCTTCAGTGCGAACCTGCATTCAAATTAGAGAGCAAGCAGGAGCCTGCTAAGCTGGACGATGTTTTGAACAACTTAGACACCATTATTCATTCTGCAGAGCACGTCCGTCTCTGGTGGTACCCTCACACGGACAATGTCGTTATTTGGCGCGTCAACCGAACCACCAAGGTATGCTGTAAAAAAAAAAAAAAAAAAAAGGAAAGAGGCTGAAAACGCATAATAGAATGGATACGGAACGCCCCACATTCATTGTTCACTTGAACTGACATTGCTATACATGCATAGGAAATTTCTGGCTCCGTCTCAAGCTGGCGCACTTCCCGCTGGTTCACCTTTCACTTTTACCAGGGACTTCTCTACTTCTGCCGCTTCATCCCGCGTCTGATTCCGACTCTTTCCCGGTTCATGTTCTGGGCTACTCAGTCGAAGCCCCTGGAGCGCGTCGACAAGAGTGTTAAGATCTTCAACTTTGACTGCCTCTTTGCCCAGTACGTGAATGAGTGGGCCATTCCTTGGTCACGTACAGCGGAAGCAATCAGGGCTTTGGACAAGTTCATCGAGACTGGGTCTGTGCAGGTGGAAACAGGAGTCGGAGTTGCTGCGCCAATTGACGAGGCGAACAACAAGACGAACGGTCAAAGTAAGGTCGTGAAGAAGGAACCAGGTCTGAAGGTTCACTTCCCAGTTGAGATTCGGTTTGTGAAGAAGGATGATGCCTGGCTGAGCCCTGCTTACGGAGTGAATTCGTGCTATATCGGGATCATCATGTACCGGTATGTCTTTTCTTCGTTTTGTCCTCTTCTTCGCCCTATTAATGATCGATGCTGTAACCGGAAACCCGCTTTTTATTTTTATTTTTATTATAAATAGTCCCTATGGCAAGCCGGTTCCTTATAAGCGCTTCTGGGCTGGATTTGAGCAGATTATGGCTTCGTTCGAGGGACGACCCCATTGGGCGAAGGCACACTCGGTGGAATTTGAGGGCCTCCGACAGTCGTATCCCATGCTGGAGAAATTTAGTAGAATTCGAGAGGGTTTGGATCCCGAGGGCATGTTCTTGAACCGTAACCTCCGTCTCCATCTAGTTCCTCCTTCCACGCCTACGGCATAAGTCTTTCTATTTTCTGGTTTTTCATTGACCATAGACGAAGATAACCTTAATAAAAAGCATGCATATTGCAGCTTTGATTGTTAGCGTCTTGTTTAGCAGCAAAGGGGACATGAACCCAGGAGAGCGGAAGCCATGTCCTTAAATTGGCGGCGCACAGCTTACTATAAAAAGAGCTACTCTCTCTCAAAAAAAAAAAAAAAAAAAAAAGAAAAGGCCATGGCTGCTCTGCTAAGTTTGTGCGAAAACTCATACAGAACCGATGCGGATTAATCCATATGTTGCAAGCCAGTGCCATAAGGTGCACACGGGGAACAACATACCTGAGAGTCTTCAGAAAGTCGATAGCACAATATAGCCTGAAAATCTTCGTGCTGGGAACGCCAGTGCTATATCTGCCGTAAAAAACCCTCTTGCTAGCTGCTAAGTCGCTGCATGCGAAATCATCCACATTTCGATTTGATGGTAAAAGTGTGCTTCATACATTTCACTGAGTATTTTATTGAAGTTGATTCTTGAGTACTGTGATGTCTGAGGTTCGCCTCGAGTCCACAGAAGCAGCATTGCTTCCCGTTGCTTGTGCGTCATTGCACTTTTGAGCTTGTCTTGATTCCAAAGTTACCGACACCGTTATCGATGTCTTCTTCTAGATGACTTTGCGTGTGCCTCAAGCCCGGTCTTGGTCCGCGTCTTGAACGCGCCATTGTGCAGTTGTCGCTTTTGGTTTTGGTTATCAATTTTAATACAGTGATGACAGTGATATCTTGCTGTCGCCCTGACTTGGTCTTGTAGGCGCAGGCTGATGCAGCAATATAACTGACACTGTTATGGACATTGTGGTTAATTATTGGAACAGCGGTCTACGAGCGACAGCTTTGAAAGCGAGCCCTCATGCGGCGCCCAGTCTTATTACCAGTATGGCATCGGCTCAGGGGCTTCTAGTTGTTGTTCGCTATAAAAAAAGAGTTACTGACAAAGACATTGATTTGCAGTGCTATTGAGGCATAATAGAGAAATGATGCTTACCTTGAGGATAGCTCAAGCTCGAGATGGTTCTAGCACGACTGCTCCGCTGTCTCTCCCCCGCTCCGCTTGTATCATCTCTTGGATTCCTCCACTGCCCATCGCCCGCACTCTTTTACTATCCCTTCTCACCATTATTTCCCATCGTCTATGACAACACCCCATTCGCTCTCTCTCTCCGGCGCCCCGTACACATTGGCCATCTCTGCAGAGGAGCCGAACCCGTAACCAGCAATGCCCTGGCTTCGGAGACTGTCACCCCTCAATTGAGAGAGGGCGGTCTGCTGTGTGGTCACAGCCAGTACTGCTCCCTGCCTCCCTCCTACCCGCTCGACCACTAACTTGAACCCATGGCGCGCTCGCCCCTTTGGATATGTCCAGCCTAAGACCAGAAACCTTGACCGAACGACGCGTCCTCTCTCCTTTGACGCCCAGATGAGGAGCATTACTAGACCCGTGATTGCCGAGACATTACCGCTATCACAGAAGGGCCAGCTAAATAGTGGGTCAGTATGTCACTGTTTCATTATATCGGACCCAACGCAAATGCTTCTCTTTATCCAAGAGGATAGAGGATACGTCCAACATGCTTTTGACAACACTAGTTTGCTGGCCATAGGTCTGCTGGTATGCTCCTCAAAGAAACATTCATCTCAGTCGCAGATCTACTTCAGGGTCTTTTCCTAAGATCAGGACCACTGGGTAACCCCTTGACCATAACGTCTCCGCTCTGGGGCTCACGGCCTGCTGCCCTATGTGTCGACGAATGTCCCTTCACACGACCGTAGTCGAGTTCCCCAGAATGATGTATCTAGAATAGATCAAGGATCGGAGAAAGCAGCAGAGACTCTGATGGGCGAAGCAGAGACCAGAAATGTGGGGTAAACAAATAAGGAGTCTGGCACAAGCACAGGCGCAGCTGTTGAATAAGAGCACCATGCACCCATGGGCATAAATCGCAACGCACAAAGCAGAATGAGCAACCCCATCCACACAATAACGTACTAAAAGATGCTGCGGTGCCATTTGTATGGGTGGATAGATGAAAGATGTTTTGTGTAAAGTATTTCGTTTATAAAAATAAAATGATGACGATGCGTCGCCGAGCTGTGTCCTCGTGTTTTTTCGTATATGGCGCCGTTCTGTGGATGTAGAAAGTTGGCTAGCACTCCTCTGTCTCGCGAAAGGGGCAGCGCTCCAGATACATGGAGATGTGCTGGCGAAGAGGTATGCTATCCACTTCCGCTGTTTGAAACACCATATCAGTGCTGTGTTAATAGACCACGATGGACTTGCTTCTGTATTTATACTCTACACTAAAAAGTGGCCATTGTCTGGTCTGTGGATCATCAACAACGCTTATCTATTCGATATAGTCGACTGAGCTGATTGGCAGATAGACTCTTAGGGCCCCAAAAACTTCTCTTCCGGCGCACGATCCGATGCAGCGACTCCAGACACTACTGCGGGGGACAGCGGAGAGTACGTCACTTGAAATCAAGCACCAACCAGGAGTTTAAAGTGGTCCGAGTCCCCGGGTATTGCTCCGCAGGTCGTTGTGCACATTTAAAATTTAGTTGTGGACGTGAGCTGGGGTTCTTTTGTTCGAGGAAAAAAATAGCAAGTTGGTACATCCAACTGTCGCACATAGCAATACGCAATTATGGAAAGTCTTCCCCCACCCCATTGTTGCACCGTGCGTCTCGTCGTGTAATGATTTTTTCTTTGAAAAAACGCGCATCATCCAGTGCCGGTGCAACGACTACGACGTCCATCTGATAGTGTACATACTCTAGTACCTGCATATGAGCCCACCAATAGAAGCGCGTCCATTATTGCTCGCAGATCCGATACGCGTAAAACGCTCTTGCGATCAGTTACCTCCACACACCCGCTCTCCTGAGCGGCTTACTCGTCTGTTCTTCCTGTTCGAAGAGAGCGCCATTGCAGTGAGAGGAGTGTACCCTATGCATTGAAAAAAATATTCCGCCCAAGACTATGGCCGATCCTCTATTGCTTGGGTAACGCCAAGGCAGTAAACTCTTCTCTTGTACGAAATTTCTATCGAATGTAAACTAGAGCACATCCCTGTGCGATCAAAGAGGACGCAGAGATGCGAACAAAGGATGTTGCTATCTTACACGCAATTTGAAAGATTTAAGGGCCCGGGCAGACTTAAAAAGATACCTCAAATTACTGATGAGTGTAAGAATATATAACGAACGCGTCAGAATGGCAGAAAAAGTAATAAAGTGTTATTGCACACTCTCATTGAATAAGTATCGAAGGCAACGGTCATATCATATCCAGGCTATGGTAATGTCCCTTAGGTTTTTGTATTTCGCGCAATCTAAACATAATACAATTCCTTCATAAGGTCCTTGCTCGATGGCTATCGAAACAAAAGCCTTGTCTTCATCAGAAGAAGGGCATATGCGAAGACGAATTCGTACCCTGAGAGTATTGCTTGAGTAATTGAGCACACGCACACTCGCGATAGCTTGGCTTCTGCTAGCACGACATCAATTAGAAGGGGTAGAGAGGTGAATGAGCTGAGATAGAACGGATCGACGAGCTGATTAAAGTCAGCATTTTGGGCGTATAGGTCAAACCGACCCATTGGTAGAAAGCAGTGATGAATTAAAGTTTGCCGCGTCAAACACCGCGATGTGAGACCGCAGCTCTTTTTTCATTCGACTTCAGAGGCTCGTGACCTTGCACGTAGAGACGTAGCAAAAGACGTGTCTTTTTTTTTTTTTCCTATTTTTATTATCATATGTATAAGGTATGCAAGTGCTCGTTTCATGGCTCACTCACTACGGAAGAGTGTTCCACTAGCCAGTCCTTCACCGCGTCTTTGACCGTGTCAAACGTCGTGAATGATTTATGTGAGATGTGGTTCGCGCGAAGAAGTCTTTCCAGCGAGGTGTTTTTTCGTGCCAGTACAATATTTGCCGATAACGCTGCGGGAAAATCTGAGCTGCCATCACCGCAATACAGAATGTGATCTGAATCTGGGTTTTTGAGATCATTGGCTTTGGCTTCACGAAGGGCTATTTGAATGCGTCAATACATCGAGCAGTTAAGATATTAGTCAAGAGACCTGAAAGAAGTGGCGAATCAAGGAACAGGTCCCACAAAAAAAAAGATATTTACCCCGGCCCTTTTCTACGCCATATGGGCTGTTGTCATCAAGAGTAGACGAAGTACAAATAAGATTTGTATTAATATTTAACGCGTTCGTCTTTTCGTAGCAAAGTTCCTGGTAACAATTCATTTTCGAGTTCTAAGACCCGGGGCTGGGTGGGCGTTTCAAGAATTTATAATGTCTTACCTGCTATCGCGCCATAGAACTCTCCACGATCCGTCTTCGCGAAAGGTCAATCCATTTGCTCGAATTTCGATCCCATGGTCAACTCCCAAGAAACGATCCAGCATCTCCTGAATCAATGGCAGAATTCCTCTGTTATAAAACGATAAAATAAAAAAATCATGAGCCTTTCGCCATCTTGTTGGTGCTCTAGCCTCACATTTTTCATACCGTTGTTGTGCACGAGTCCTTGGTTTTCTTACATGCTGATGACTGTGATAGGGATCGCATGCTCTCGGCAGTATCGATGGAACTCCTTAAATCCTGGATCCAGCTGCACGTAATATGACTGTTTAGGTCCTCCGTTCTCTTCGTCAAATGGGACCCTACTCGTGTTTCTTTCAGGGTTTAATACGTCGGCGTTGGGGTCGATGAGGATATCTGCCGCTTCCTTAATCGTTAAATGGAGGCGCTCCCATTTCATCTCCTCTGCTTTCCTAAAGCTCACATCCCCAGGCTGCGTCTCAGGCAAGCGGTCGAGCCGATCCAGTTCCTGCTCGCCCAGCTCGTGCGCGAGGAGTGTGTTGCCCGTATCCTGAAGGACGACTGTGCTGTCAAAATCAACGTATACATGTAGAGCAGTCTGTTGTGAAGGAGGCGACATGACTACTGTTGTGGTATGGCTGTTATCCAAAAAGACATCAAGTAGTGTGAGACAAATAATCACGACACTTTCAAGACGCGAAATGTATGTGAGAGAAAGGCGGCAAATGCAGAGAAGTACAGCAGGAAGGAAAAAAAAATGAAGGAGTGGATGAGATGGCGGAAAGGAAGAAAAGAAAAGGAAAGGAAAGAGAAAGAAAGAAAGAGGGGAGCGTGTTTGCGGACGTGAAAAACTGGTCATGAAAAAGTATGGGAATGACGCATGGTATTTATGTCCATTTTTGTTGTTTTATTGATGTTTTCGTGGTTGAACCCTGTAAGTCTTTGTCAATCTTGCAGAGGAGCACAGAATGAGTAAAAATACAACGGGCACACAGACACGCATAGTCTACACACCGTTCGTTATACTTGCACATAAAACAGAATAAACATAATTCACTGCCTACTCTATTCAATCGCATTTTTTCAGCTCGCCAAAAAAAAATTCCCGGCAGCATTCAATAGAGCACACAATAGCTGACATTCAAAACGGGGACACAAACAAACGAATAAAATAATACCATTGTCATCCTGCAGAACAAACTGGGTTTTCGGAGCTCTGGGGTGCGCCAATCGTACCCTATCCGCCGCTGTCTCCCGCGAATTGAGTACGCGTAAGTTCTGTCCCTACTTCGGTATCGTTCCCTACCACCTTTTCCAAGTGGCTCTGACTAAGAAAGATGATCAAGAGACGAGACCGCCGATGTTTTTTCTCTTTGCTATGTATCATTTACTCTATACACTTACACAGATAAGCAACTGCATCCGTACAGGAATAGGGAAGGAACAAAGACGCATGTAATGCAAAAAAAAAAAAAGGAAAGTGCCTGCGTCAACACTCAGCAATTCCACAAAAACCTCCATCGTGACAAATCCTCGTCCGTCGAGAATTCCCGCAGCCATCGCGCTCTATCCCACCGTGCAGTATTTCAGCCCTGATAGCCCTGACAGCCCTGATAGCCCTGACAGCCCTGAGAGCCCTTTCTATAAACCTCGGCACCTTTATTTCTGTAGTAGCAATCGTTGTATTTTTTTTTCAAGGGCTACCGGGACCATTATTTGCCTGGCAAAATCTGGCACCTTCGAGACGTCATGACATACTATCCGTGTTGTTGTTTATGACACGTTGTTTTTGTCCGCACCCATTTTTGAGGAAAACCTCCTTTGATTCTTGGTCAAGGACTGTTGCACAAATTTTGCGAAGTATCTATGATTGCTAACGTGTCCAAGACGTGTGCCATCATTGTTGAGGACGCGACGGGTACAAGGAGAAGAGGGTAGAGTAGGTCAATCATTCCTCTCAGCTAAATTGGTTTCAAGGAGCAGGCAGTAATTTAGGGTCCCTTGCCCTTTGTTGATAGGACGTTGGCCGTTTGTGTGCTACAAGTTCTTGCTAGGACACTAAGATCGGGGACTGGGGTACGCGCAAGTATCATCCTCTCGTTCTTAAGCGCGATAGAGGGATGTAGCCTAACCAAGTCTAGTCGATTTTTAAGTACATGAAGAATCATTGACGCCACACTCTATCTTAACTTTATAGAGATCAAACCTCGCATTGAAGGCTCTGGTTGGATGTCAATCTGTAAAAACAAGGGTACGGGGCACATTTGGACTAGATCCAAATGTATCGTTCCTGCCATTGACATTTGGACCGGGTGTCCTCTCTGTCTTGCTAGCTTTGTTCCTTAACAATAGTTGGGATGGACCCTGGTTATCGCCCGATCTTATTTATGCCTCACAAGTATCCATACAACGTATTTATCTTCTGCTCTTGTAGACTTATTTTGATTAAGGGATACGAGCTACTGGATCTATAGATGTAGTGGACCAGATGGAGGGAAGAAAAAATCACAAAAACAGATGGGAAGTGCACCCCACACAATCGAGAACGAATTGTGCATTCACGTACTTCACTCCCAGCAAACACCGCTTTCTTCTTCCTCTGTCCTTCACTCACAAGTCGTTTGGTGCAACTATACGGACGTCGATGGGCGAAAAAAAATAAATAACGACAACCGGACGTGTTGATCACGCGCACATCTGAGCAACCATACCATGCAGCATAGAAGTTACAAGAAAGAGGGTTTTTTTGTTTGTATTTCGAACACCGAAAGTCAACGGTAAGCTACTTGTTATACATTTGCACAGTGATTTTTTTTTTTTTTCCCTCTCTGTTTTGGAGCCCTAGCCCATGGTCCATGGCCGAAAAGATTGCGGCTGCATTGAAAGCAGCCATCGCAGCGAATTTTCTAATACGAGCACATACCACAAAGATTGTTCGGTCCATGCTAATGCACATGCATTGTGGAGTTGTTTCTCCTACTGCTCTCCTTTCCATATACCTTTTTATACAGCGTCCATTGGCTCGGATAAAACCTAAGGGGTTCCTTTTTCAGTGGGTGCAACACAGATGATTGTACGCCGATTATAGATTATGGATACAAATCTGAAAAGATATGCGATGCAAAGTCTTCCAGGCGTTTCCCTGATCTTGGAACCAAGAATAGATCCACCTTTTCTCCTTGCGCGTATTGCCTTTTTTTTTTTTATTGAAAATATATCTTCTTCTGGTAACTTTTCAGAGCAGCTGAATAAGAAAAAAAAAAAAAAAAAAAAAAAAAGGTGGCCGTGAACACAACGATAAACCTAACTTTACTCCACGCGAGACACAGTGAATAAGGCTTGGGGAGTAAATGTGTATACTGGCCATGGGCACACACGAAAACTGCGTATCGTAAGCAGTTTGATATGTGAATTCGTTCTGACAGCATTCGCCCATGCTCCCTTTAAAACCTGATTATTCCTTGTCAGTAAAGATGTGGTTTGCGCCTTCTCTCGTGCTCTAGACTGAAGACAAAAATTGTTCCAATAGACCCCAGCCAAATAATATCATGGTCGAGGACTTGGCTAGACGACACCTGATTGGTACCAGACGACCATCGGTCTTTGTGGCGTTGAATTTTACCAAAATAAAATCGTAGCAACCTTGAAAAGGTCCATGGACCAAAAGCAATACGTACCCATCCTCGCGTATCTTGCCTTCCGTGAGAAATATATAAACGCGTTATTTATACTATACTAGACTGGTAATGTATATACAATAACAAGTATCATTTTTTACAGCTACCTGGGCACTGCTGCGGGACCCGAGCCCTGCACGCGCTTGACCAACAGCTTCATCCCCGGCATGGGCCTCCAAGTTACACGCGCCGCCTTCTTAAATGTGAACCCGGGCGAAGGGTGGTATTCCAAGTCGACCAGCAAGTAGTACAACAAGATCTTAGTCTCAATCAAAGCAAACTTGGACCCGATACAATTCCTTGGCCCGGTCAAGAATGGTACGTATGCCCAGTGCATATCGGGCGTGACATGCTTGGTTGTTGTCTGGTTGTCCGTCAGAGTCGCGGGGTCCATCCATCGCTCAGGCTTGAATTCTTCGGCATCTTCGCCGTAGACGCTCTTCAACTTGTGCAATGCTGCAGGTGACAAGAACACCTGGGTGCCCTTCGGGATCTCGTAACCGAGGATGTTGTCGTCCTCAGACGCGATGCGGGAGGTTGTGGGGACTGGTGGGATGAACCGAAGCAGCTCCTTGACACATGCGTTCAAGTATGGCAACGCGTTGAGTGCATCATACGTTAGCGGCTTGTTTTCGTCGGGACGGCCCAGTTCTGTCAAGAGCTCGTTTCGAACGCGCTTTTGGGCCTCGGGGTAGATGGAAAGCACGTGCAGCATCCATGTCACGGTCACCGACGTAGTCTCATGTCCCGCAGCCAGGAACGTCAGGATCTGGTCCTTGAGCTCCTGATCCGTCAGTTTGCCGTCCTCGAGCGATCCCACCTGTTCATTGCCGCGGATCAGAATACTCATAAGGTCTTTACCCTCCTCCTCATAATCGTTGCCGGCTTTCTCATTGGCGAGTGCTTGGGCGAGTTTTTCGGCAATAAGACGAGTCGAGACGCGGTCGATCGAATGGATAGCGCGCCAACGACGTCGGTTGTGCTCAAAGGGAATGTGGACGTAGATTGGTATAAATGCGCGAAGGAGCTGGATAATGTTGGAGGATGTATTGAAGAGTTCACAGTAAGCCTGGCTCAGCTCGTTGTTGGGATTGGTCAGGGCCTGGAAGTCATAGCCGAACCCTACGGTATTGCAAAGAAAAGACGATACCATGAGATTCAAAATGTAAAATGCAAGGGCTGAGCGCGGACGCGTCGAACTGGATGATTGTATGCAGTGCGACTATGTACCTGCAAGTCCAATAATATCGAGAGTGGCACGTCCTAGATCTGTCGTGATATCGAATTCGGCGACCTTGTTCTCTGCCTGATCGACGCGTTCCTCCCACATCTTGCCCAGCATAGCTGCAGGGCCGGCCATGATGTGCACCATATCCTTGATGTGTTTGTGACCGAAAGCCGGGTTCAGCATCTTGCGCTGCTTTTTGTGCGCATCTCCCTCAGCCAGCAGAACGCCACGGCCAATGATCTGGCCCAGAATACGAACGACGCGATTAGGCTTTGGGTACTTGTAGGAGTGTGTGCCAAAGACATGTTGAATCGCCTTGGGATCAGCAAGGAGGATGCGCTGGTTATTAAATAGGCCTCGGTAGCGTACGAGGCCACCGTACTCCTCAATCCATCTGCGGTGGGGAACACCGGCTTCTTCTATTAGGATGTCGAGGAAATTGCCAACGAAGGGGATGTGGTACTTGTTGTATTTAGACTCATTAGGTGGACCGGGGATATGTCGGAGAGGAGAGATGAAGTTTGGGTAGAAGTACACTTTGTAGAGGAGGTAGGAGGAGAGCAGGGCGACGAGTGTTCCAAGCGTGGTGAGGGGGTCAATCTGCACCGAACTGAGCAGAGTGGACGCAACTGCCATTGGGGAAAAGAGTGAATGAGAGAGTTCGAATGAGGAATGGAGAGGAGCTGAATCGGATCGTTTAACAGGATGTTGGGGAACAAGTGTGATGAGAGAAGTAGTTTTGTTCGGCTGGCGATTTGCGAGTATGAAGTGTGCTTTTTGAGGCGTGTGCTTTTATACGTTTTCCGACAGCAAGCGATAGCAGCAGGACATCACGATGAGCAACATGGTAGATATGATCGCCCCCGATAAGTCCTCATCGCCACGTCGTCGTTGTCGTCTCGATGCTTTTTTCGATCTGGGCTGCGTTGTATGTGCGTATGTTTCATTCTTCGGGTCAATTTTGCCTTTCCTATGCCGAACAAATGAGCACAAAACCAGTTTGAAGCATTTGGCTCGGTCAGCGCAATTGCGGCTCCACATGCCCCTTTTTTAGTAGGCAATCATGTTTATGTTTGTCTCCTTCGTTCCTCCTTTCTTCCCGGATGAATGTTGGCGAGGAACCATGCAGGGCTGTGGAGTTCGGCCGCGACCACAGGACGCCCTTCTCCGCTCGGAAAACGTATGCGTTCCTAAGTGTATGCTTCAGTTTGTATTCAATGGAGTTCCACGAGCTCATTTCATCCGCGGTCGCAAGCGGTGCATCCCCCGTATCGAGCTTTCTTCTCCACCTTCGTCTTGACGCGTAACGATCACGGCGGAGCCCTGTGTAGTCAAGCCATATTCGCATTTTTGATCGACCACGACAAGTCCCTCATTGCTACACGCAATCCATACCCCCATCGATCCGATCGAAAAAAAATCAGCAAGTGCCCATTATTGATTGTACCCACTGTTTTCTCGCTTTCTCGATCGCATTCGTATCCTTCTTCTCTTCATATTGTTTTCTAATATCTTTTTTTTTTTTTTTTTTTTACTGTGTCGTCACCTCTAACTTGCATGCAAACGATAGATTTGATCGTTGATTGCTTGGCCTGCTTGGCCAGTGCGTCCCATACATCGATGTACTTTTCATCTGGTGCAATCCTTGACCCCACTTTCACTTTAGACTATTTCTCACTGATCCATGCAATTGGGCGTATTGAGCTTGCCAACAATAGCAGCAGTCAAGGTACCGCCCTGCTACCATCTGGTCCCACATTCTAATGTAAAAGGTATAATAGGATTTATTACCGTCGTACAGGGACAGCAGAGCAATTGGGCACCCAACTCAATTCTACCCATCCTTCGCACATGAAGGGCGTTGCGATTGCTTCCTCAACTCATCAACCCTCGTCCCCTTCCTTCCTCCGGTGCACCCAGGAACAACACAATCAACAAGTAAAGCAGCAGCACTGCATGGATAAAGATTAGAGTGCAAACAGCGAATCGAAGGATGTCAACATTCGACCCCGTCATCTCGCCATGGCTCGCTATTGGCTCATGCATAGGCTTCACACTCATGTTCGTTGGGTCCCTCTACCTCTTCCCCGTCAAGACCAAGAAGCCTCAGCCTCGTGAACATCCTTCGCGGCGATACAGTCTGCTGTCGAATGCCTCGCAATCATCCGCTACAGGAGGAGTACCGTCAGCAGCCGATGATACCACCCCGCCATCCTCACCAAGACCGTCGTCCGTCTCCTCGGTCTCGACAGCCATGTCCTCCAGCACCACAAACAACACGACCACGACGACGACAACAGCAACGACCACGACCACGATTATCACCACAAAGTCGCCCGCGAGTGGAGCTGGAGCCGACAATCGAGCACATCGCACCAGTACGCACCTTCTCTTTATCGAGTCCGCCAACAGCATCTCCTCCTCAGCCTCAGCTTCTTCCTCACCCGCCTTATCCGCTATTAATCCTGCAACAATCACGTCTACATCCACGCTTTCGCCAGCAGCTTCATCCGCGCTCTTGGCAGCAGTCTCTGTAAATTCGACTGCAGCGCGTCCAGAGGTCGCCATTCATTCGTATGCATCCTCGCAGTACGATCGAATCCTGGCTTCACGCCTCTTGGCCCATCCTGAGCATCCTCAGCAACATCAGTCAAACCAGCATCAGCATCATTTGGTCTCGCCGGTTGAGGTCCAGAAGCTCGATAGGGATCACCCACTGGTGATCATCCAGCGATTTAAGGGCATCCTTCTTACGTCTTTTCTGGTGCCCTTGTATCTTTGGTGGCTCTTCAAGTTCTCGGGCGCCATTCCAACAGATCAGGTAGGACGAGTTAAGCCTCAAGGCACCTCTCCCTCTTTGCCGTCTGCTAACAGATCACTTTTTGAGACAATCATAGTCGTTCTGGACACGGCTGGGTCAGTTCCTGGGCCTGCTGGGCATAGCCTTCCCGGAGAGCATCTTCCAGCTGGCGAATCATATTGTGGTCCCACTGTTTTTGGTCGGGGTCCTGTTTATGGGCCCCGTACTAATGATGTTCCTGAGCAACGAGCTGCCGTTCCAGCAGGCTTTTGATTGGGCAAAACAACAGCAGCATCTAAGGGGTCTCCTAGGGATCAGAAACTTTGTTGTTGGTCCTGTTTCAGAAGAATTCATCTTTCGGGCGTGCATGGTCGCAATCGTCGCCCACTCTGGAGCCTCGGCCTCGGTCATGATCTTTGGTCTGCCCTTAGTCTTTGGTATCGGTAAAGCTCAAACGATTGTTCCTCTGTGTATGCTTGTGCATCGATACTTTTTTCCGCATACTCAATATCGTCTTTTTTTTTTAAAAAAAAAAATTGTGTGTGTTGAATAGCACACATCCATCACGGCTACGAAGCCTACGCCAAGAAGGGTCGTACACGCCGCGCGTTGATGAATGCTGCCCTCATGGCCTGTTTCCAGACCGCATATACCACCCTCTTTGGCTGGTTCGCCACCTTCCTGTTCCTGAGGACATCTAACTTGATCGCCCCTTGTCTCTGCCATGCATTCTGCAACATGATGGGCTTTCCAGACGTTACCAACATCCAATACTTTGGCCGTATGAAATATTGGCTGTATCTGGCCTTTGTCTCTGGCCTGATCCTGTTTTGTGTCGCGCTAGGGCCATTAACCAATCCGGAATTGTATGGCGACAAGAACAGCTTGGCCTACTGGCGACTCACCATGGGATCAATGGAGCCAAGCTCAGACACATAGAACCAAATCTGGATATAAAATAAAATAAAATAAGATAATAAGATAATAAGATACAAGTGTAATAGATCGTATACATTTGATAGGAATATTACTGAAGGCATCTCAATATCTATCCCTATCCCGTTCTCGCTCACGGTCTCGGTCTCGGTCTCGATAACTGTCTCGATCCCGGCTGTCTCGACTTGACCTGTAGTCACGATCTCTGTCATCCCGACTATCCCTGCTCGATCTGTAGTCGCGATCATCTCTGTCATCCCGACTGTCGCGACTTGCCCTGTGGTCCCTGTCTCTGTCCCTGTCCCTGTCCCTGTCATCTCGGCTATCACGGCTCAATCTGTGATCTCGATCGTCCTTGAAGTCTCGACTCGATCTGTGGTCATGGCCGCTTTCACTGCTCCGCTCCGCCAGTCGTTTCTTCCTTGCCATTTCTTGCTCAATAATCTCTTCTACCGCAGACCGCTTCTTCGGTGCTGAGGTAATAGGGACACTAGCTGGAGCAGGTGTTGGTGTAGCCAATGTCGTTGTTGATGATGGTGTCACTGCTGTGGATGCTGCAGATGACGAACTCTTTGACGAAAACGGATTCGGCTTCTTGGTCGCCAACGCATTCAAACTCTTTGGTTTCAACAGTCCTGCCCCTGCTCCCAGTCTCAGTCCACCACCGAGCCCAACAGCTGGCTTGATCGCAATATCCAGCTTAATCTTCTCCTCATCATTCTCTCTAACCAATTCCTTTGCAGTCTCGCCTCCGTCTTCTGCCTGTTGCTGCTGCCTAAGTGCCGCCGCCCTTTCGATCTGCTGTTGAATCAACTTCTGTTCCCGCTGCTCGTCATCCATCTCCATGCGCTCCTTCTTGGCGATAGCTTCCTGTCTTGCAAGATTCTTTGGCGAATTGTCGACCCATTGTATAAACCAACCCTTAGGAGTCTCGTCCACAGTCGCCAGGCCTTCCTTTCCGAGATGCATGGCGAATTCAGATAGGGACGCCCATTTGGTCGCGTTCATGTGGAGATGAGTTCTGTCCGAGATGAATTCTTGGTAGACAAGATTGGCGTGCACTCGACGTGTGCCGTATCTGCAAGGACAGGGAACAATGTGTTATAATTATCATTCGTTTTTTTTCATTTTTTTTTTTTTTTTTTCATTGCTGCTCCACAGAATGACCAGACAAACCCAATTCATAAGAGAGAGTGCGTCCGGCTAAAAAGTACCTTGTGGAAAGCAGCTTTAAAAAATCTTTTTGGAACTCTCCAGAGTAGTCGTTAACGTATTTCTCGGGTGATTCGGCAACGAGCAAGATCTTGCGCTGATGCGACTCGGATGCACAGTGACACTAGATTGATGAATAGAAAAAAAAAACAATCGTTAGCAGGAGAGAGGTTAGCGGATCTTTTTTTTTTTTTTTTTTTTTTTTTCGTTTCTGTTAAAACTCGAGTCAGTTGTGCAAAAAGGAAAACATATCCTGTACCTTGAATCCGTTCTCATCTCGGCATTGCTTTTCGCAAATCTGGCAGTACCACCGTAATTTCTGAAGTCCTTTTGATTTGATGCGGTTAGCAACCTAGTGAGCGTACAGGAACATAACGAGGGAAACGAGCTGGTTAGCCGTGGGCGCAGCGCATCGGATCAACAAATGAAAAGGCGAAAGGTGCAATCGTGGCAAAGAGAGACAATGTCGAGTCGCATGGTCGATCGCTGACTGGAAACATACAGCTTTGGCAGTGAGAAATCCGTCCTTGGCCATAGTGTGTTAATTGGGAACAGCGAGAGAAGGGTTTGGAGGGGATCATTGCTTCTACTTTTGCAAGTACGGTTAAGGTCTCACACTCAGTGGCTTGGCATTTTGGGCCAAGAAGGGGATGGACCATGAGAGACCATCGTCTGAGTATAGTGGACTTCTAGAGAAGCTAATTTTATTATCAAAGGCTTTTCCTGACTATTGTACATATTTGCTCATGAACTTCCGATGGAAGTCCGAGCGAAGCGTATCGTTGATGAACCGCTTCTTGGGCTTGTCATCCATGCCTCTGGCCTGGTTCTTGAAAATCACATCGTCGTCCCATCGACGCTTCACTGAAAAGTCCTTTGGCCCAGAAGAGCTACCGCCCATCTCCAGTAAAGGGTTTCCTGCCGCCGCCTGCGCCTCTCGCTCCTTCTCCTCCTCTTCCCGTTGAAGTCTCTCTTGTCGCTCCTTCTCCTCTGCTCGTTCCCGCTTGATCTTCTCTAGCTCACGCAACAATTCTGCAGTATCGTCCTCATCATCA